TGTACATTTAATATGCCAGCCAAAAAATCACGACATAAAACTGAGTTCAATAATACCTATTGTCCGTCAAGCCACACAAACTTGAACTCCTCGATTGTTTTATATTTTTATTTACATTGTTTGTGCAGCTTATGTCGCTATTATTAATTATAAAAATACAACAACATATTAAAGCGTATACAACACACTATAACAAAAGCATTCCCATCATTCAATCTCCATAAAACTCCCATAAATTTCCTAGTTTATCACAAACTAGACAGTTAATGAGTGATCCTCCAAAGTGGTTATCTTCCATTCCCTTTGGTATATTATTTAAAAGTGTTTGATCAATTACTTTTATGACGAACAATATCAAGCGTATATTCTTCGTCTCTATCGCAGTCTCCTGGGGTTCTGTTCCGATTCACACAGAGAGGAAATATTTTATCGTCCAATTTCGCCTCAATTTGCTTCCGTCTTCCTCTGGGAACGAAACATGATAAATGCCGCATCGCATAAGATGGCATAAGCTTTCGTATTTGCTACGGAGATATTCCGTTCCCATAGCGAGAAAAATTCAGAGAACGGATATACCGGGTGGTCCACTCATGACTATCCACCCTCGACAGCTTTGGAAAACTCTCAAAAAAATTATTTTACAAAAGCAACAACGAAACACGTCGATTTTTATTAGGAGGGGGCACCGTTTGACGCGAAGACGATGATACATAATTCAACCCTCTTCCTCCCAGAGCAACCCCATCTATAATTTGAATAAGGAATAAGGGTAATTTTATACATCATTGCAAAATTAATTCCATTCTGACACTAGCTGTGCAACGCTTTTTGAATTGCGATACGCCGTATTGCGAATACCTATTTGATAAAACATTCCATACCTTCATTTACTAACAATTGAATAAATACTAGTTTGAGAAACTTAAGGAATCCCCTTGTATAGATAGCCAAACCAAAAAGAAGTAGAAAATTGAATAATGAAAGTATATTGATGAATACACAACATATAAAATATTGGCACCTCCATAATCAGTACATTCTATATGTTGTGTATTTATCAACACACTTTCATTATTTTATTTTCTACTTCTTTTTAGTTTGGCTATTTATAAAATGGTGTTCCTTTAGTTTTTCAAGCTTGTATTTATTCTATTGGTTCGACTAACTACAAAAGATTTTTTTTGGTTTTTATAATATATGTTCTATAACTATCCAATTCTGATGAAAGAATAATAATCTCCGACCCCGAAAACCCCCAGATAGCAATTTTTAATAGAATCGGATCATGATGACAAAACCCAACCGCCATATTGTATCCGCCATATTGAATTTTCCATTTTAGACAAAAGCATTATAATCTCCTACCCTGAAAACCCGTGGTGCCAATTTTGAATAAAATCGGATCATATAATTACAAAACTCGTCAACTAAATTGGATCGGCCATCTTGAATTTTCTAATTCCGTCGAAACAATCGTAATCTCCCACCCCTAAAATCCCCATAATTTTTATTACAATCGGATCATAATCACAAAACTCGTCCGCCATATTCGATCTGCCATATCAAATTTTGAGGAAAGAATCATATAATCTCGAGTTAACAACATAACATTTGACCTCGAATATCTCCAGAAGGGCTTATTGCAATTGAAAAAGCTTCGAACTGCTATAGTGACAGAACTGAATTACCTTTGCATGACCCTACTTCCCTAAGAGAGTTATCGAGGGTATATATTCTCATAAGAGAACCACCCGGTATAATAATATGAGAATATATGCAGAGGCATATATATAGGTATATATCGTCACGCTTTCCTTCTGAACCGAGTTCTGAACATTATATTTGTGCATGGAGGAAAAAGCAGTTTTGACGTTATGGAACTCGATATGAACCATCAAATTTACGTTGATATCCTGATTGTTGAAAACATTCTACTCTTCTTTCGCTCCTGTTTTCAATTAAAAACTGGTTTAATCCGAGATTGAATATTCCATAAATATAACAGAGATCCTGTTCGGAGTATTAAATGTTCAATAAATATTTACAAGTTATCGAAACATTCGGATAATGCTCAGACAACCTTGAGAACCTGTCGAGAACTGTTGAAGATGGGAATATGAGGGATTTATGTATCTATATACATATACAGGGTGTCTGGTGAACCATGGATCATACTCTAACTGGTGATGACCAAGTTCAGATACATATATAACCAATCAGAAAACCACAACCTGAACTCAAAAAAAATATCGTCGTCGAGATATGGAAACTTTTATGGAAGAAAATTATTGAATTCCTATTTTCATGTTCCAAGGTAATAAGGAGCGCTTCATAATAATTCTTATTTTCGATAAATTTAATATTACGCGAGATATTACGAATAGTAGATGCAACAATATGAAGGATCCGAATCGGAGGATAATTTTTTTTGTAGACCATAAATGACTGCTAACGAAAACTTGTCCTCTGTAATTGTTACAACTACTATTCAGTATAATTTATAGAAAATATGAATTAACATGAAACGCCCCTTATCAGCTTGGAACATTCAATTTTTTTATATCAAAGTTCCGCAATATCTTGATGAGCGTGAAGTTTTTGCTGAGGTCAATTTATGGTTTTCTCTCGGGTTTCCGGATTAGTTCTGATTGTTCTGAACTTGTTTATCATCAGCTACAGTTTGGTCCATTGTTTACCGGACACCCTGTAAATAAACTGAGAACTAATTGTGATAACTGACAAAACCTAGAAATGACTAATACGCGGTCAAAATTGTGTACACCAAACTTCAATTCCAAAAGGAATTCCAGTTGTTCGTACACCAGAATTATACCGCACTTCACACAAGGAATTCCAAGAAACTCTAAGAAAATCGAAGGAATTCCAAGGCAATCCAAGAAATTTCAAGGAAACCTAAGGAAATCCAAGAAAATCCAAGGAAATCCAAAGAATTAAAAAAAAATCCGAGTATATATGCCTCAATGGGTAGCTGAAACCACCCTCAAACCCGAGCTCAAACCTCAAACTGATTTTTTCAAAAGTAACCTTATGGCTTGTGATCCCTCATTTGAAAGCTGGTGAAAAGAGGAATCCAGAGTACTAATCACATTTTAGTTCTTCATACGTTTGAAGGTTGCAAGAAATTGAAATGTAATTCAAAATTCTTTTTTCTAACGTGTCAATCGCTCAAAATGTGTGTTGAACAATATAGATGGCAAATTTTCGCCACAACTGCTATCTGTTATTGTATTCCAGTGTTTTATAGAGCCGCAAAAAGAAATTTTGTTTTTTTTGCCGTATTCACAGTTCGAAACAAAGTGTTATTGCAAACTGGTGGAAATGCCCTATATAACTGTCACTAAAAGTTGAAATTTTGATGAACATACGTTGAAAATATATTGAACTTCGAAATAATAGTTTGATTTTATGACCTCCGAACGTACTGGAATCTGAAATATGATCAGTACGCTGGATTCCTCTTTCAACCAGCGTTTCAATGAGGGGTCGCAAGTCATAAGGTTCCATTTGAAAAAAACATGTTGGGGTTGATTCGAGTTACCCCTGAACGGTTATATTCTCCATATTGCTCGCCAAATCTAGGCGAATCTAGCGAATTTTCATAAAAATCAGTCAGTCCCCCAGTAGCGAATTTATTCCAGTTAAAATCTGCACCCTGTATATTTGTTACACAGGTGGGTCTTCTCAGCTCAGACCCCAAAGCTATGTTTACTGCACTGTCACTATCTTGGAAGATGACTAAAGACCTCGCTAAAGACGTAATTCGCGCCAGAATATCACAGCATGAAGTGTTTTGGGAAGATGGAAATAACAGTAATTTAAAATGTAATCTTTGGTAGAAGTCCATATTGCTCAAATTGGAGTGAAATATTTCACAGGAAGGAAGAAAGGAATGGGCGTGTACACCTTAGTAGAACTTTTAACTCAAACCATGTTTATAATGATCCTTTTATACATAAATAATGATCGACGACATAATTCAATCGAAAAATTAACTGGAACGTTTTATTTTTGAACATGAATAATAGTACCTTCTGAAAACGGACCCTCTTATGACGTAGAAACCTCATCTCGCTATAGTTAAAATAAAATACCAAATGCTCGACGGAGACTGAGGCAACTGATATATTAATTATTTCAACTGTGCGCGCTAATTCACTCTGTCAGAAATCATGCATTATTCATCTCTGTCTGGAATAGTCTTGTTTCAGTATTAGGGTTTTGACGTCACATCATCGCCTTGTTTTCAGAGGTCCCAAAAATCGGGGATTTCAATAATTTTTTATAAAACGTAGGGAGCTCACAGCAAGAAACGGTTTGCGGTGGTGAGCTAGTTTGGGTGAGTTCTATCGAATTATGAAATAAAAATTGTTTGTGATATAAGCCCATTCTCGAAGTCATCTCCACAAATTTTAATGATATTGTTACGTAATCATGAGGGACATGTTTCGGTCTTATAAAAGACCATCTTCAGCCAAATTGAAAGGTCTACAATACAAAAACAAATGATATTGAAGTTGACCTATTTTGTGCTAGACTCACTTGGAGGTGACACTTCAATATAATTTGTTTTTGTATTGTAGACCATTCAATTAGGCTGAAGATGGTCTTTTATAAGACCGAATCATGTCCCTCATGATTATGTAACAATATCATCAAAATTTGTGAAGATGACTTCGAGCATTCCTTCCTTCCTGTGGAATTTAAAACTTGTTCAGGTCTGGCAGATCCCACCTGGGCGACGCCGGGTCAAACAAAATCTGCATCGACCAAAATACAAAAATAATCAATATTAATGAGTAGGACTCAGCGACTCAGGCTATAGTATACAATTTATTTATTTATTGAATAGCAACTCGAACGTTTTCGGCAAATCGGCACTAGACCATCATCAGGAAAGTATCTGGAAAGTGACCGAATCCGAAAATACAAAAAGGTGCAAAAAGTGATAAGTGCGAGCCCTTCGTTCCTTCGAGACTCACCTTCGCAACATGATGCCGCCCTTAATCCCGTACCATGGTAGCGCGCGCAAACACTAATCCGACGGACGCGTCGCGACGCCGTGCACCACGTGCTACAAAAACGATCGAGAGCACGTGTCGAAGAGTGCGGCGGATGGAAGTTCCGCGGTCTTGTTCGTGGCTGGAATCGAACTGAAAACTGTTTCTGCGTCACTGCCTGCACTTTGCTGGACGGAGTTTGGAGATGTCGGAATTGTCGGATGTCTTCCACACACGCCCAGACCAGACATTCGGTCGGTCGGTCGTCTTCGTACTCTCTGGAAGAACGCTTGACGCTTGAGGAGGAGGATACAGCCTGCAATACTGCAATGAAAACATGATTTCTGCGCCCCCACTTTTCATGATTCAAAATTGATTTTTTCGTGTAACAAAAAATTTGGTGATATTCAGAATAGAATAGTAGATTGTTTTATTAGGATCAAAAGTGACACTTTGTTTGACAAGCGAATTTTGCATTTGCGAGGCGGAGCGTTTAGCGAAGCCGAGCGAAAGCAAAATTTGCGAGTCGAACAAAGTCACTTTTGATCCGAATGAAACATGCTATTTTTTCTGCAACCGAAACAATTAACTCAAATAAACATGTGAAGTAACCACCAATGCCGTGCATGTATGCAATGCAACAAATATTGACAAATAATCCATGTGGTGAGAATATTCTACCTGCATTAACAGCAGGTTAGGTTTTCTAGAATGTTCGAATTGTAGTTTCAAAATAAATACAACCACAGAGTGACATATTTGTGTATGGACCAGGTGCACTAATGGCAAATACCGCGCCAGTGCCAGCTATAGGAACAAGACGTGGAAAATGTTAGGTTAGTGAGCATATCAACCTGTGTTTGACTTGATAATCAAATTAAGCTAAACAATATCGTTGTTTGAGAAATGATTATTCAAAAACAAGTTATCCATCCCGAGAATAAAGAATGAAATACAGGTCAAGCAAGTATTCGAATCTTGAAAGCTTCCCTGATCAAAACAAAAATACTTAACTGAGATGTTTATAATTCCAATACTAAACTATAATAAGGAGTATTTATATCTCCAGCATGGGTATGAAATGCCAAATCTGCTGAAATCGGAAACAAATCAGGTATGCGTCTCAACCCAAATAACCAACCATCACAATGTTGTTTATTCTTGATGACGTCCAGTAGATCCTTTTTAGTTCCTAGGAACTAAAGTTCAACTTTAGCTCCTAGGAACTAAAATTCAACTTTAGCTCCTAGGAACTAAATATGTTGCCTAGCAACATACCTATTATTGTGTCAGTAATAGAAACGTCAATTTAAGAGCTAATTTTGGTATCAAAATGGACGACTTTTGTGTCGGTTGCAGAAAAATATCTTTTTTTCCATGTTCTGGTTACCACGAAAAGGGATATCCTGTAAAGTTCAGAGAACATCGTGAGAACCAAGGGAAATAAGGTAGGAATTTTTTTTCATGTTCTGGTTCCCACGAAAGGGATATCCTGTAATGTTCAGAGAACATCGCGAGAACCAAGGAAAATAAGGTAGGAATTGGTGTTCTTCTCAAATTTCTGGAGGTTAAATGCCTCGGGGAACACCTCCCTTGGCAATGTGTTCCGCCAGAGCCTCACTGTTCGTTGGATGAACGAGTCTCTGGGAAGGGAGAACATCTCTCACCACTAAATCTCGCGGGGACTGCCAAGGGAGGAACAATTGTTGATATCTCAGAAGATCATCGTCCATGGAAATATCTATGAAATAGAGCCAGATCGCCAACTTTTCTACGGTGTTCCAGAGATGTGAATGAGTTTGTGAGCGAGGCATCACCCACCCAGTTTCAGTGCATGTTTGGGTGCTGCACACCAAAATATGGGAATAGTATTCCAGGACATGTCGGATCTGTGCCTGCTCCTGGCCCGAAACAGAAAACCAAATTTTTGGATGTACTTTTAGCAATTGATCTCACGTGATTTTCCCAAGAAAAGTAATTTCACATAATATCTTCGCTATGGATGACCAACAGAATATTTCATATATGAACATCTGATTGTTTTCCCTATTCATCATTTGGCTATGTGAGTCTCTTCATGAATCGCCCTGTATATCAAATTTGTCCTATAGTTTCTTATAGCATCTTCCTCATATCGGTCAATGCAGCAACCTGATGAATATATTCAATAACAATATATTCCTTGTATCTTTGTGGAAATTTGTATTTCACTCCAAAGTCGAGAAATAGTGAATTGATCAAGTTTGATGTAATTTTCGTGAAAAAAAAATCAGCAATCTTGCATTTATATTATAAAATGACCCTTCTTTCCTTCTAAGTGTCATACAGAAGAACAGCTTTGAAAATTCACGGCAACTTATCTCACAGCATCCTGAAACCCTTCAGTCATTAAAATTGTCAATTTGTGCATATAAAGTAAGCGTTATGAATTTCTCCTTTTATCATGAAAATATAATTTTTAAGAAACCTTGAATAAACATTAAATGAGACCCAAACAGCGAACAGGCCGACGCCCGACAGGGTTCAAGCGGAACTGACAGCAACTGAAATAAAATGCCATTACATTTCCATCACATTTTTCTTGATATTAAGTAGATTTAAGTTCATTATTTTTCTTTAGAGACCAAGACAAAGACTCTTGGGAGAGAAGAGTCTTGGTCTTGGTCTCGAAAGTCAAGTCTTGGTTTTGGTCTTGGAAAGATTTATTAAGTCTTGGTCTTGGTCTTGGTCTCGCGAAGCCCGACCTCGATCTGAATCGCTCAGAAGGAGGATGATTCAAGTGCTAAATCCAAGTTTCAAGATACCGGAAGATTCATTAAACCAGATTTTTTGGGAATTTGTTCTTGTTGGATGTCTTCCACACACGCCCAGACCAGACATTCGGACGGTCGGTCGGTCGTTTTCGGAATCTCTGGAAGAACGAAGACGCTTGACGCTTGAAGTATCATCGCCTCCATCTGAGTTGCTCAGAAGGATCAAGGAGGTTGACTCAAGTGCTAAAATCAAGTTTGGAGATCCCGCAAGATTCATTAACCAGATTTTTTGGAAATTTGTTCTTGTCGGATGCCAAACAACCCCTTCATGAACATTCATTATACGTCACTGGCGTGCTTTCATCGGATCTATCAATGTCCAGAAGTGCTATCGTTATACATGAATGATACAATAGTGGGTAGAAAGGGGGTAAAAAATCGCATATGAGAATGTTATTAGGAGGTGATAGATCACTGATGCTTTTTGAAAAACTGCTGCACTTCCAATATACGGTTTCTTCCTCTCTGTCTACCATACTTATGTCCCATGGATATCCTTAGGACGTCTTGTCGGGACATCCAGGACGTCCATAGGACGTTCGAATTTGGTACCGTGGACGTCCATTGGACGTCTGTGGGACGCACAAATGTCCCACTTGAGGACCAACTAGGGACGTCCTTGAGTGATGTCCATGGGACAACTATTGAATACCTAAATCCTACAGTATTCCTCATCAAGCACTACGGAGGACATCTTTAGGATATCCGTAGGACAACCTAGCAGGAACGCTGAGGGATATTAATTGGATGTCCATAGGATGTCCCAGAGACCTACGAATTATTCTTGAATTTGAATTTTCCTGGGTCCCTCTAGGACCAGATCTTGCATAACTGATGAGGACATTCAGTTGAGTTGATGGTCCGTAGAAGGTCCCCAATAGATCCTGAAAAAGTTTCCCAAGGATGTCCAATGAACTTATACGTGAAGGACATTGACGAAGAGTATTTATAGCCTACGAGCAATCATTCGTCGGTGAGGTGTTAGTTAACGTCCTCGCAAGGACAACATATTGAAAGTACCGACAAGGACGTCCGTTGGACATTATTTCTAGGACATTGGATGAGTACTTACAGTTCATGTACCAATCCGGACATTCGACGGATATTACTAAGGGACATTTGAAGGATGTCCCTAAGGGACATTTCGATTGTTATACGATTCTGGAAATATTAAGGGCGTCTGTGCAGAGATATTTGAAGGAATGTACTATCAGGGACATTTCATGGTTGTCTCGAAGGGACATTATATATGATCTGAAATCATGCCAGAATATGGACTACTCGGAACAACCGATAGATGTCCCTAAAGGAACGTTTGAAATCATATCTCATCAGGGACATGCCAAGGACGTCCTTGCATGGACATTCTACAATATGTACCAAGTGGGACGTCTAAGAGATGCTATTTCTTGGACATTTGAAATGATGAACCAGCTGGGACATTCCGTGGACGTCCTTGCTCGGACATTGCATGAGATATACGGGATGAGACGTCCTAAGAACACTTATTTCTGGTCCGGGACATTCGGACTTGAATTGTACCAAATAGGGACGTCCCTAGGACGTTGTGTGCTGTTAGGGATATTGTACTATCTACTATCTGAGTAGTGGCTGGACCATGCATTCCCTGTGAGCTGATATTGAACCTAACCTAATAAAATTATAGGATCATAAGTTAGTGCTAGTCAGAAAAGAAGTACCTAGCAAATCCCATTGGATAAAACTGGTGGAGTATTTCTGCAGTCAGTATAGCGGAAAAACTTGATTCGGCGATGTGATGATGTCAATAGGACACAAAATTCAGGACATTTGGCGTCCTGCAAGTGATCTCGACAGAACGCAGGACAATGTACCTCAAATTCAGGCAGTGTCATGTAAAAGCCACTTACTATGCCTTATGGAGAAGAAAGGCCTTTTCAGCGTCCACTCTCGTACATGGTACTATCAGAGACTATTTATAAGGTGGGACTGTGACAAATATAAGTTTCTTTTCCTTCTTCGGACTCGGGGCTCTTTCGCCAAAATATGAAAATATAAGCTCAACTGCTAGATCTCATAACTAAGAGATTCAGGATGAACAGAGTTGCCCCAATTGTCAGCAGGAGCGAGACAGTATTGTTTCGACCCACCAGGTCTCATCAGCCGCTCTCGGTCTGCTGAAAACTGGGACAACTCTACACTTCAACTATATCACCCATTTCGAAGACCAGAGCGGCTGATGAGACATGGTACAGTTCTGTCTCGCTCCTGCTGAAAATTAGGGCAAGTCTGGTCATCCTGGATCTCTTAGTTATGAGATCTAGCAGTTGAATAGGTCGGTGGTAAAATCCACACAAGTATATGACAGTAGTGTCATCTGTCAGCAGAGTGGTTTACTTATGTAGTACCACTCTGTAGCGTATAGACGTAAGGGTCTATACGTGTGACTATTCGCGGAAATCAATGTTACCAGGTGGCGCTCGGTTTTCATCGTTACATGTCAAGTCACGTCAAAACTGGGGGAAAACAAACTCAATCCTCATTCAACCCCACTAGTGTCATTAGCTTGTGTACTGTGTACTGATAAGAGTGATGTTTTTGAATTTCTTGACATTAAAATTGTCAATATTCGATCGAAAACGCTAATAACGCCTGTTGTAGATGATCTTTTGGCAGATATTTTGCTCTATTCAGATGGAAAAAGCCGACCAGTAGTGGAAGGAGAAGCAGTTCTCCGTGCTAATCATGTGATTTTGTGTGAGGCAGAAGACTTCAACAAAAGGCACATTTTTGCACTTTGTCTACAAACTTCGGAGATGGAATCTTCCCCACATGAAGTGAAATTAAAGTTGGGGGTCCAGAGGAACTCTTGTAGAACAATGGATTTGTATTTGTGCCTGCAAAGCAGGACAATCTGGGTGTTGTAAACATGTTGTAGCTGTTCTTTTATATGTCAATTGATTTGCTCGTCATAATTAGTTTGAATTGTTTGAACTATCTCCAATTCTTCACCTGTTCACTGTGCACTAAACTAATGAAAATGTGATAATGTAAAAAATTAGCCAACTCAACCATCATCACTGCCAACAGTGCCAACACTTTATGTCATTGACAAGTTTGACTACAACTACAGCAAGCTGAATGCAATGTAGTCTATGCACTTCATCCATAGACAACAGTTTGTTTTCCCCCAGTTTGAAGTTCGTATTATGTAACCTAGATGTCGCCCACTTCGTGAATCTCGCGAAGTACTTTATGTTATACCCTGCGTCTTTGAAAATAAGCTGTTACAATTTTTAGATAACACGCTTCCTTGCAAAATTATCGGTGATTTTTTTGCACTCTGTAGGATTCTTTACAGTGTAGCAACTTTCATGCGATCTATGCAAGGTTGGTAGAACTAAAAGTAGTCATCAGTTCTACCAACCTTGGATCTGTGTAACTTGTGCCATCTGTTGGGAAATAGCCAAAAGTTGCTTGGGCCACTGAGAAATGGAAGATATAGGCAAAAGCGATGCTCATCGTACGGCCTAACTAAATAATACTGACTTTTCAGTTGGGCCACTCTACTTCTGAGTGATATTTCACTTCGACATTCTCTGTTTCAACCTTTATTATGTGTATGTTCATGATGAAAATCAAATGATGGATTTAGTTTTTCAGGATTTTCAATAAAACGATCGATTGTAGGTGGGAAATGATGACGTATTCGTTTTCTACCAGTCAGAATTAGGTCGTATATGTAATTCGGGATTTTCGGAAACCAAGAAAACATTTGTTGCTAAGCAATCCAAATATGTGGTGAATACAGCAGTAAAATCAATAGTACCATGAAGGATTTTATTGAATATTCGATACAATCAATTAAATAAAATCAACTATATAAGCTAAAAATAAAATAGTCCCAAAACCATCATTCCAAAAATATCACAGCTAAATTAACTAAATCATTTACAATTTACAAGATATTAATTAAATAGATCTAACAATGAATATTATTTAGTCACATATTTTTACAATGGTTTGCAATCAATCAGCATTAGTTTTTGTTATTCCTGAGAATTTAAATAAAATTTCATTATGATCGTAAACCCATTCCGTTAATCATTATGTTGGCAAGAGCGTTTCTTCGTTTTCTCCATGCGCCCATTCCTTGAGCGAAAAACTGCAATTGTTTGTACCAGATGTTCGTTTGATCCTCACCTTCAGCCTGAAAAATAAAATTTTACCATGCAATTATTATTGATTTTGGGTAATATATCATGAGTAAAAAAATATTTCCAAATCGCTCTAGGAATACGAAAGTACAGGGGTGGAGTGGATCAAATTGTAACACACTGTAGATTAGAAATTGAAAAATTGAAATTTCAGGATGATTATCTCAAAAATGGCAAAATGGGCTGTCATTTTACTCACAATATCATACTCCATCGAAATAAGTAAAAATATACCGAGTGTCTCATTCAAAATGAGAACATATGGGTCATTTCTGGTCAAACCGGACAGAGAACAATTGAATATACGTCAAATAATGGATATTTATGCACTATACTTATACACGGAATTTCATGTGTTTATTTATTGAAACAAATAAGTTCAGGGGGTGAGCCACGTTTGAGAAACACCCGTTGTGTGAAAATTTGGGCGTGTTCACAAGAATTTCATCAAAAAAGTAATCATTATCCTTTAGCTGGCATCTGCTTGATGTCTGTTGAACCTGGCCATTGGCATTCTGTAGGGTTAGAAGCATATTTCATTCAAATGTTTTGATCTGCTTTTTTAGCTCGCCCTATATATATTTCTTCAGTTATTTCATTTGGCTCAAGTTCTTTGACTGACCCTGTATATTTTCTAAATATTTATTCGATTCAGGTTATTTTAATCGCTCTAAATATTTTTTCAATTAATATTCATTTCACTCAAACGCCCTGTATACAGTGTGTAAGATAAGTACGTTCAATTTTAGGAAAAATAGTCTATATGAACTTGTGTCCGAAAAACCTTCATTTCGGAGATACAGGCTGTTGAAATTGATTTTTTTTGTTCGCTATTCAAAAATACCTTTTGCAAAAAATTAGTTATTTGAACGAAATTTGGTAATCGGTTTTTTTACAGTATACTTTTGGTAGTTTTGGGGTTATTTCCGGTCAAACCGGAAGTGACAGAAAACAATTGAACACAGTGTTGCCGTTTCAGAATTTCAATTTGTACTAGAAGTCATTCCGAAATTGTACTAAATCCAAGTATATTGTACTGAATTGAGAAAATAACACTTCAAAATTCACGATTCACACATTAGATGAAAAACTTCATATTCATATATAAAAAATTAAAATAATAGTATACAGCACATTAAAACACCTGAAAAACGTAGGTCATGAAACAATTATACCTGATAAAAGCCGAAAATGAGAGATGAAGAGGAACAGATCAGATTACAGCAATTACAGATTGAAATCAAATAATAATATCGTACCATCATTAAGATAAAATAGATGACTCAAACTTCAAAGTCAAATCAATTCACCAATAACAGCTCATTGTTCTTCCGTTGAATTTGAAATTTTTGACTTCTCTCGATGAGGGATTCATTAGGATTCCAATAATTATGTGTATGAAATGTACTAGAACAAGACAATAGTACTGAAAACGGCAACTCTGATTGAGTACACGTCAAATATTCATGTATGTCCTATACTTATACACCGAATATTATTTGTTTATTTATAGAAACCAAAGAGTTATAGCTGTGAGCCACTTCTTAGAAACACACGGTATTCTGTGGAAATAAAGTTATACCTTAAATATGAATGTGTCTCTTCCCAATAATTCCTGTACTTCGAAGTAGCTTTGCCACGCCGGATCTGCCGCTATCACACATCGATCCAGATAAAGAGGTTCCCTCAGGAGGGAATATCGACCGTTCTTGTCTCTGACCAATAAGAGGGCCGCTTCTCTCGCTCCGTGTCTCGAAAATACGAGGCCGTTTTCGTCCGGCCTGTCGGTCGTTTTGCTCGAAATCGGCTGAAAAATTCATCAATGATATATTTTTTCTGCAACCTACACTAAAGTCGTCCATTTTGATACCAAAATTAACTCTTGAATTGACGTTTCTATTTCGACACAAACATAGGTATGTTGCTAGGCGATACTTTTTGTTTCAAAGTTCGACTTTAGCACCTAGGAACTGAAAAGAATGTACTAGGTCATCAAAAATAATAGTAGATTGTTTTATTAGGATCAAAAGTGACACTTTGTTTGACAAGCGAATTTTGCATTTGCGAGGCGGAGCGTTTAGCGAAGCCGAGCGAAAGCAAAATTTGCGAGTCGAACAAAGTCACTTTTGATCCGAATGAAACATGCTATTGTTTCTGCAACCGGAACAATTAACTCAAATAAACATGTGAAGCAACCACCAATATGCCGTGCCATATGTATGCAATGCAACAAATATTGACAAATAATCCATGTGGTAAGAATATTCTACCTGCATTAACAGCAGGTTAGGTTTTCTAGGATGTTCGAATTGTAGTTTCAATATAAATACAACCACAGAGTGACATATTTGTGCATGGACCAGGTGCTCTAATGGCCAATACCGCGCCAGTGCCAGCTATAGGAACAAGACGTGAAAAATGTTAGGTTAGTGAGCATATCAACAATGATAATAGTGATTATTTTTATTCCTCTCCATACTACACTGTGTTTGACTTTATAATCAAATGAAGCTTAACAATATCGTTGTTTGAGAGAAAAAAACTATTGCTCGCCGTGATTATTCAAAAACGAGTTATCCATCCCAAAAAATAACGAATGAAATACAGATCAAGCAAGTATTTGAATCTTGAAGGCTTCCCTGATCAAAACAAAAATACTTAACTGAGATGTTTATAATTACAATAACTAAACTATGATAAGGTGTATTTATATCTCCAGCATGGGTATGAAATGCCAAATCGGTTGAAATCGGAAACAAATCAGGTATATGCGTCTCAACCCAAATAACCAACCGTCACAATGTTGTTTATTCTTGATGACGTCCAGTACATCCTTTTTAGTTCCTAGGAGCTAAAGTTCAACTTTAGCTCCTAGGAACTAAAATTCTACTTTAGCTCCTAGGAACTAAATATGTTGCCTAGCAACATACCTTTTTTTGTGTCAGTAATAGGAACGTCACTTTAAGAGCTAATTTTGGTATCAAAATGGACGACTTTTGTGTCGGTTGCAGAAAAACAACATTGTGATGGTTGGTTTTTTGGGTTGGGACGCATACCTGATTTGTTCCCGATTACAGCAGATTTGGCATATCATACCCATGCTGGAGATATAAATACACCTCATTACAGTTAAGTATTTTTATTTGACCAGGAAAGTCTTCAAGATCCACATACTTGCTTGATCTACTGTATTTTATTCATTCTCAGGATCTGATTGGTTCGATGACTTGTTTTTGAATAATCACGGCCAGCAATACTTTTTTGTCTCACACAACGATTCTGTTTACCTTCATTTGATCACCTAGCCGAACACAGTGGAATATGGAGAGATAACCTAACATTTCCCACTTCTTTTTCTATATTCTTCGCTAAACGCTCCGCCTCGCATATGCAAAATTCGCATGTTAAACAAAGTGTCACTTTCGATCCTAATAGAAAAATCTACTATTCTCCTACTAAACCACCATAATTGAAAACATTCATCTAATCAAAATTACTGTCACTTCATTCAATCTTGAGCTATTGTGAGTACAAATTATACACTCGATTTATTCAATATACCATATTCCAAATGTGCTAAGTATTTTTTGAATCTTGTTCTTATGGGTCGCCTAGTTAGGCCTATACAGGGTGTCCGCTAATTGATGGTACACAGCAAAACTGCAGATTCCTTGAATTAAATTATTGAGTTTTAGCCAAACTCACTGTCCCGGATTAACTTGAAAGGGTTGATATCAAATATATATTATTACTTATTAAGAAAACAACAGTGGTGAACTATTGTGGTCTCATTGATCGTTAAGTGAAATGTCGGAAATTTTTAGTTTGTTGATTTCTTATGATTCAAAATGATTGAGTTTTATTCCTTTATTTTCTACGTGTAGACTTTCGGAATTATCATCAAAACTGGTTGTGGTTATGGTTGGCGTATGCTGAATTTGTTTCCTTTTTCAAAAAATTCATCTTATGTTCATGAATGCGCTGATTAGACGTACGACATGTCTGACCAATATATACCTCAGGACAAGATCCACAGTTGAGTTTGTATACCCCTGATTTTTCGAATTTAGAAGTTTTGTATTCTTTATTCTTGATAAACCTTCCCAACATGTTATTTGTTCTAAATGCTATTTTTGAGTCCTGTTTATGTAGCTAATTTTTCAATTGATGATCAAAAATAGGTAAAAGTTCTATAATTTTGATTATTATTCTCGATGGTAAGATAAACTTCTTGAATAGCTTTATTAGGAAATTATTTAGAAAGAATACTGTCTATCAAATTAACGTTGTATCCGTTGTGGGCTGCAATCTGTTTGATGATATTGAGTTCTTGATTGAAATTTACTTGCGAAATAGGGACTTTCAGAAGCCTGTGTATCATACACTATTATACAGGGTGTCCGGAAATTATGCGCAAACAATCAAGGGGGTGATTCTACATAATGAAATAAGAAATTCATTTCATATGAACCTAGGTCCGGAAATGCATATTTTTCAACATACAGTGTGTTGAAACTTTTAAAAAAGATCGTTTTTTTATGAATATATCAAATGTCTTTTCACCGATTTTCTTGAAATATGGCAATAATATTTTTTGTTATGAGGGGCTGATATACCCATGATTAAATGGGAATCTTGGAATCCAGTGGCGTCCCGATGGGCAACCTACCGAATATTATTGTCATTAAAATGTGCGGCACTGATTTTTTTGAATTCTGTATCTCTATAACCTATTGGCCAACTAAAAATACAACATTTTGGTTTCTTGAATTGTTTTGCTATTCTGCTGCTTTTCGGTGGAAAAAAATAAATTCCAATGCATTGTATGAATTTGTGGAAAATATTGCTTCAAAAACAGGGGTGAAATCAAATGTGTGATCCATGTCCGTAGACGTAGAATAAGAATGAAGAATAATTATCCACAAATATTTTATATTACATGTTTGACACACTCTACACTCAGTATATTGAGAACTATGTATTCTCGGTCCAGCAAGGCGTAGTTTTCGATAATACAAAGTGTGTCAAACATGTATTATAAAATATTTGAAGAAAAAGAATCTTCATTCTTATTCTACGTCTATGGACATGGATCACACATTTAATTTCACCCCTGTTTTTCAAGCAATGTTTTGCACAAATTTATACAATGAATTGGTATTTATTTTTTTCCACGGAAACGCGGCAAAATAGCAAAATAATTCAGTAGATCAAAATGTTGTATTTTTAGTTAATCATCAGGATATGAAGTTGAAGAATTAAAAAAAATCAGTGGCGCACATTTTATTGACAATAATATTCGGTAGGGTGCCCCAGGGACGCCACTGGATTTCACAATTCCAATTTAAATTATGGTTAAATCAGCCCCTCTTGACGAAGAATATCATTGCCAAATTTCAAGGGAATCGGTGGAGAGATATTTGAGATATTCATAAAAAACCGATTTTTTCTAAAAAGTTTAACACACTGTATCTTGAAAACTATGCATTTCCGGACCAAAGTATATATGAAATAAATTTTATGTTTTCACATGCAGAATCACCCCCTTGATTTTTTGCGCATAATTTCCGGACACCCTGTATATTGCAAGTTCATCGTACCAGTATATCAGTATATCACCTGACGAAGCTACTGTGTTAGCGAAACATATCGTGTGTTTGAGAATTTTGTGGAAATCTTAGCGTTTGTGAAGTTTTTACATTTTTACATGGATTTCCATCGAGTAACGAGTCAATTCAAAAAAGAAAAAAAACTCACCTTTCCGTTGACGACCAGCAGCGCGTTGACAGGCGTCAACTTGATGGTCCTGCCCCTCCTCCAATTATTGTCAGTCGGCTGCGTGAACAGCAGCTTCCCCTCCAACGCGAACCGCGCCTCCTCATGGTTCCATTCCAGAACATCGACAGCGATCTTCCTCAATTTGATGTTCACCAGATCCATTTCGGCGCTGGACCTCCTGCCCGAACTGCTACCTGTTGGAAGATTCATTGCCATGTCAATGAATATGTCACTTTTATTGATGCTTTACTCTAGAGTCAATCGATGAACTTGACACTTTTGTGTCTTACTGTCACTGTTTGTCGAGTGTCCGTACTCTAAATATATAAAAAAGTCAAGTACATTAAGAATGGTAGGTACATTATACATCAAGGGACAGAAATGCAAGATTTTTTCCAAGGCGACGCCCGAGAGATACAAAGCACCGAGCACTCACCATGCTCACCATGGGTATCTTTTTAACGGTGAGAGATACGAGGTCGGTTAAATGACACCAAATGTGGAGTTTGTCAAGGCCAACTATAATGTGAACAAATATTTTGATAAAATCTATTTATTTTTGTTTTATACGCAAAAAACAGATTTTGATCATTTTCATTTCTCCTCCGCAACTTCTTTATTTATGAAAATATTCAAATAGGAATCTCACATTCTCATGGCAGTTTTTCAAAATGATTTCGAAAGAAATATGAAATTTATACCAACTCTTCTAGAATTTGAGATATCAGCACCGACTTTAGTTTTTTAAATGTAGGTCATAGATCACTATGACTTAGTTACAAATAACTTTTTTTTCTCTTACAGATGATACGTTGCAGTAATAGTTTTGTGTTGATAACAACAGAGTTATTGTCATTTATACAAAAACAAAAAATTATTCGGAAGCCGCCATCTTGAATTTATAAATTTTAACCAAAAAAGCATGATCTCCGACCTCGAAAACCCGCACTTACCAATTCTGAATGGAGTCGGACCACATCTTGTCCGCCATTTTTGTTGAAATTGAAAAAAAATGGCTGCTCGAAGATGGCGGACAAGATTTGGTCCGATAGTAAAGGTGTAGTTTTGGTTTGATGGTCGAGAAGGACTACACCAGCTTGTTAGCCTGTATTTGCCTGCGGAGGTGAAGTTCCAGTAAATTCGGCACCTCTCATTCCCCACAACGGACTCAATATATTCCTCGAAGCATATGGGGCAGCACTGAGAGGGTCTATGGATATGAGCCGAGACTGCATACACATGCAAGAAGACAGCAGGTGCATGAGTGTCTCAGGTCCTGCAATTTGTTTCAGGGACCTGGCATACGCCATGACGAACCCAACCGTTTCCGATTTAAGCCCGCCTGACTTCAGGAAAGCAAAAGTCAGTGTTTTTGCTGAACCCTAGTCTCCAATGGTCTTGAAGTAGACCGAGTGTGAGGGCTTATCCATATGAAGTTGCAGGATCTTTCTCACTTCTGCAGCTTTAATACGGACAGGCTCTATCTACCACAGTAAAGTTAGTCCTGAGCTGCTCTGTCGGAGTTGACAATCAGAGGCAATTCATTGGATGCTGACGTGCTGCTCGAAAAAAAAAACTCCCGCTCCTGCCTCATCATCGGTTCTAACCATTTGCAGGAGGAGATATATCAAGTTCAAGAGTCCACAGCCACCCTGGTCTCTAGGTATGTATAACCGTGAAACAGACGAATTTGGATGCCAACTCCTATGAAGATGAATCATCTTGCGAGTATTTACGTCAAGCTGTCGCAGCTCGACTTGAGTCCACTTCATCACTTTAAAGGAGTAAAGTAGGATCGGAACAGCAAACATGCTAATAGCAGCGACTTTGTTCCTTCCCTAACGACTAGATCTGTTGGAGCCGCTGCCAATACTTGCTGCTGAGAACGTCTTCAACCGTTGTGCCCCCTGGATGTGTACAACGATCATCCTGTAACACGCATCCCAGATTGTTCTCCAACATCCCAATGATTCACATGTACCAGCCTATTTCCGAACACTCAGTATATGTTGCGATGATAAATAACGAGACCGAAGATTCTGGAATGTTCTGAAAACAGTCGATGGAACAAATAGAGAGAGAGAGGTATTGTTCTAAGAAGCTTCTAGGACAAAAAGAAGGATACGGAAGACCATTCGAGAACGTTCGAGAAGCGAAGCCTACCAAGGGATCTCATATACAAGGACTGTCGGACAACTGCCGTCAGTCAGTCAAGCAGCGAGTGTCAGAGAGACAGTCATATACCGTGTTATATAAATCATTTTACATAAATAGTAGTTATGAGTTAGATATAAATTAGTGTTCCTTTAGTGAAGATAAATCAGTTCGAAAATAAATTGTGTCGTGTTCGCTTCTGCGCCCGAATAACGTAACATTATTACTATGTATGTATTACCTATCCTCCTCCATAGCTTGCTCGGCACGTCCTTGGTCTCGGAGTTCATGTGATTGAGGTGCAACTCTATCTTGTGCTGGGCCTCCTTCAACTCATTTTTGTTGTGCAGGTGCGCCGGAGTGACCTTGTAGAGTCTGGCTAGCAGGAGCGGGTACTTGGTGACCCTTTGGACGGGAACCTATCCAACAATCGGGATTTAAAAAATGTCATAAGTACACTAATCTACACACTGTTTCACCAATAATCAAACCAATTTTTTTAATTTTTTTTCACACCTCGACCCGTGTTTCGGTAACTCAAAAAAAAATCGGTTTAGTTAGTGGTGAAACAGTGTGTGGTGTAGCACACAACGTCCTAGGGACGTGCCTATTTGGTACAATTCACGTCCAAATGTCCCGAACCAAAAATAAGTGTCCTTGGGACGTCCCATCCCGTACATATTATCATGCAGTGTCCGAGCAAGGACGTCCACGGAATGTCCGAGCTGGTACATCATGTCAAATGTCCTTGATATAGCATCCGTTAGACGTCCCACTTGGTACATATTGTAGAATGTCCATGCAAGGACGTCCTTGGCATGTCCCTGATGGTATATGATTTTGAACGTTCCTTTAGGGACATCCATCGGATGTCCCGAAAAGTACATATTCTGGCATGACTTCAGATCTTATATAATGTCCCTTCTAAACAACCATGAAATGACCCTGATGGTACATTCCTTCAAATATCTCTGCACAGACGCCCTTAATATTTCCAGGATCATATAACAATCGAAATGTCCCTTAGGGATATCCGTCGAATGTCCCAATTGGTACATCAGTTGTACTCTTCCAATGTCCTAGAAATAACGTCCTATGGACGTCCCAGTCGGTACTTTCAATATGTTGTCCCTGCGAGGACGTTAACTTACACCTCGCCGACGAATGATTGCTCGTAGGCTATAAGTACTCCTCGTCAATGTCCTTCACGTAAGTCCATTGGACATCCTTGGGAATCTTTTTGCGGACCTTCTACGGACCATTAACTTAAATGGATGTTCTAATCAGTTATGCAAGATCTGGTCCTAGAAGGACCCAGAAAAATCCAAATTCAAGATTAATTCATACGTCCCTGGGACATCCTATACACATCCAATTGATATCCCTCAGCGTTGCTGATAGGTTGTCCTTTGGATGTCCTGAGGATGTTCTTTGTAGTGCTCGATGAGGAATACTGTAGGATTTAGGTATTCGATAGTTGTCCCAGGGACATATCTCAAGGACGTCCCTAGTTGGTCCTAAAGTGGGACATTTGTGCGTCCCTCAGACGTCCAATTGATGTCCACGGTACCAAATTCGAACGTCCTATGGACGTCCTGAATATCCCGAGAGGACGTCCTAAGGATATCCATGGGACATAAGTGTGTTATTAGGGTATCGTGCCGAAGGTTCCAGTATTCGATATACACTATTCTGATAAAGTGGGCCACTAAAATTCTCCATGTTTTTCATAATAGGAATTTCATTTCGTGCACTCTAAGAGATAAAAAAAGACAAAACTTCCTTTGAAAAACAAGCAATAGGAGATATAGTTGGAGACTTGGACATTCTCTTCGAAATTGTCTGATTTGGCCCACCCTGTACATTTGACAAATAATAGTTAATTTAATATTGAAGTTATCATATTACCATGAGAAAGGAGTTAAGGTTCATGCGCCGCAGCATGGCGTTCTCCATTTGCGACACTCTCAGAAAGATCCTGAGTAGTTCTTTGTCCTTCTCGAGGCTGGCCAATAGGAGGCTGGCACTGCCTTGTCGTACACAGTAAGTTTCGAAGGCGTGCAGCATCGGTATGGCTTCCAGAAAGAGTTTCCCCGTATTAACAGTAAGCAAATCTTCATCGCCTTGCTCCGTGGCTATCTCCACTGCATCCCTGAGCTTCTCTGCCAAGGCTTGGCTGTTTTCCAGGAGTTCTTCCACGTTGAGGAAGATAGCCGAGAGCTGATCAGGTGTTAACAGTCCTGCCACCAGCATAGGCTGGTAGAACTCTTCCAGGATGATTTGCAGGTCCCTACTGTATTTTTCCTCGGTCTCCACTATCTCTGTTATGATTTCTTTGCGTTCGGATCTTTTCTTCGAGCACTTTCTGCACAAGGAAGCTTCTATTTCCAGTTTGCTGTCTAGGATTGCTTCGCAGTCTTCGCAGGGAAAACAGAGCTCCGGTTTGCTCCTGTACTTGCTGAAGGAGCTTTTGCTGGTTTCCGAGCCCACTCCGGAATCGTTCCTTTCGATTTCAGCTGTCTTCTGGAAAGTGGCTTTTTCGTCTATGAGAGCTCCGGAGATGATCAAGGAGTTGTCTTCGCTGGAATCGCTGATGGTGCGGATGTCTTCTTCCGTTTGGTTTTGGTGGTTGTGGTGGGAGAAGTTGTAGGTGAAGGGGTGGTCTTCTTGGACGATGCCTCGCTCTTTGGCGTCCACCAGGTAGCTGAGGATGTCGTATTTGGAGGCTCCCTCGAAGATGGACCTGGAATGGGATTTGACGGGTATAAGTTGGTATAGGGAAGATTTTCTTTGGTAATTCAAATGGTGCGCATACTTTCCATTCTTGGGCAATATTCATTCCAGATACTTGATCTTTCATATGTTTCGGCTTGCTCTTTTGAATTCGAGATATAGAAACAATACACGATTTTTGGAAAAATTACAATATCATTTGGACTGAGTGTAATTCTCAATCTATTTTTATCACCTAGAATGACTTATAGCAATCTATCTTCTGCTTTCAACTTACCCAAACAAAACCAACAGTATTACTGTTCATAATGCCATGTTCTTAGTGATTTATTTTTTGTTCAAAGTAACGAATTCCTTGATATTTGAGATGCAGTCAGAGTATTATAAATAAACTTACCGTTGCGGTTCATTATGGTTACTATATTTTTATATGAATAGTGGAGTTGACATTATACAGTCTGTCCAAGATAAGGTTGAACAGCATGGGGATCTCGGAAACGGTAGGAGATACGAAGTCGCTTAAATGGGAAAAAAGTTGCGCATTTGGTGGCTCATATCAAGAGCCTTCGAAAATTTTGAAAATTATTTTTAGTTTTTGAGTTATATCGAAAAAAGTAAATTTTTGGAATTTCTATTTTATTTTTTTTCTCCGTTATTATCAGAGATACAGACAAACTGAAAATACTTTTACATTGCAACTTTTGATGAGGTTTAACGTGGTGATACAGATTTTTTTTGCGACGTTTCGTATTCGTGGAACCATCATCAACTTTTGTTTCTTAAATACGGTCCTGATAATTTTTTCACAGATTCTGAAAGGTTTTTTTATTCTGAAGTCAACAATGTACTATACAAGGTGATTCGAATGTGTTTCGACCTATTTCTATCCATCATCAATGTTTTTTCGAAGAAAAAAGCCATCAGTTCCACTTATTCCTGATCATTTAGTGTCAAACTTGATGGATTAGTTATTCAATACTGAAAAGTGAATAAAAAATATTTCACTACATCATTCGATCAATGCAGCGTTTAAAATTGTTGATGAATTCTTACACGAATTACTTCAACAACTTAACTTTGACAATACCTACAGAGACATTCATAACACATGTTCAAAATGATAACCATTATTTTCTGAACAAAGATATCCTCTTCTCACAGACATTGCTAAGCATTTCTGGGGTTATTCTATTGAATGCTTCGAAGACACTGTCCCTTAGTTCTTCTTCATCATCAAAGTTATTTGCGTGTACAAAGTTCGATATATCCCCTAAGAAAAAATCCAGCTGAGTCAAATCAGGCGACCGCGCCGGCCAAGGGATAAAAACGCACGGACTTCTCTGTAATTATGTACCGGAACGCCATCTTGTTGAAACCAACAGTTCTGAACTTCCACAATCGGTAAATCATCCAGAGCTTCCTCAACATGATTCTCAAGCGAATTTCTATAAAGTCTGTGTTTCATGGTAAATAGAAGGAACAATAATTCGTGTACCAAATATTGCAACCCACATATTAAAGCCGAAACGGTGTTGGTGTCTCGCCGTAATGTATAAATGTTCATTTTCTCGTGAACAATAATGTGTATTTTTTCTATCGAAGGTACCATGATTAGTGACCATGCTTTCATCAGTTCAGATGATTGTTCAAAAGAAATCTGCAAAATTTTAACATTTCCTGGTATACCACTCACAGAATGTCTTGCGCCTTTCGTCATCGCCTGGTTTTAGCGCTTGACATATTCTGAATTTGTATGGATGGAATTTTTGTTTCCGCAAAATGAAATGGGTTGTTGATTGAAACCAGTTGATGAGGTATTAGTGTGTTGACTAATTTTCCTTCAAAATAAGTGGAACTGATGGCATTTTTCCTTTGGAGTTTCGAAAAAACATTGATGATAGCCAAAAATAGGTCGAAACACAAATGAACCACCTTGTATGGTTGAATTCAGAATAAAAAAACCTTCTAGAATCTGTGAAAAAATTATCAGGACCGTATTTAAAAAACAAAAGTTGATGATGGTTACACAAATACGAAACGTCGCACGAAAAAATCGGTATCACCACATTGACCGTCATCAAAAGTTGCTATGGAAAAGTATCCTCAGTTTTGCTGTATCGCTAATAATAACGAAGAAAAAAAAATAAAATAGAAATTCCAAAAATTCACTTTTTTCGATATAACTCAAAAACTAAAAATAATTTTCAAAATTTTCGAAGGCTCTTGATATGAGCCTCCAAATGCGCAACTTTTTCCCCATTTAACCGATTTCGTATCTCTTACCGTTTTCGAGATCCCCATGCTGTTCAACCTTATCTTGGACAGACTGTATACAGAACCGCTCTAGACTCGAAAAGTAAAATCGAGAATTATCTATTGAAAATATCGGCTTTCAGTTACCACAGCCGATTTTCATTATTTTTTGATCCAGAATATATGTGTCATCTGTCAACAGAGTGGTTTACTTGTAGTAACACTCTGTAGCGTATAGACGTAGAGGTCTGCACGTGTGACTATAGATGGCAGCGCCATACAGTGTGTGTCGCGATCTCTGTATCTTACCTTAGAGCTTTGCCACTAGATGGCTACAACATGACTATAACTTCATGTTTTATCCTGCGTCCATGTTAATTATTGGATCCTAATATATTGTACTATACCTTCTGAGACAGGATACCTTGCTTGAAATTCTTCTTTTCATAAATATAATGAAGTTCCACTGGTAGAACTTGATAATAGTGGTTTCATTGGCCCAACCCAGCAGCTATCTATCAGAGAACCCATGGAGCAGTAGGCTGTAGGCTATTACTTGGTTGTTACAAAGGGGCAGTAGTGGTGCGCATTAAATCTTTCTTGTTTTCACTTTCTTGGATCATAGACCAGTATTTTATAAACTTCAGTAGCTTGATATCATTTTCCGTAAATTGAAGTATCGAATGTGAAGACGTAAAGACTATTTGCTGTAATTTTGAGTATATCCCCAGATAAGCTAACAAGTTTTGCACAAACGGAGCAGTGTTTGATAGAGAATCGAAAGGCCATCATAAGAAGCTACAACGTGCTCCCTCTTTATATTTGAAAAAAAAAAAGTTAATGGTGCCCACTTGTCACACCAGGCCACATAACCTCAACCATTTTCATGTCAAAATGTAGTGAAATTTTTGAATTTTATCCGATCTTATTAGCTCTGCTCGTTCAAAAGTTGATGGAGAGAGGACTTTTTACGTCCTCACTATATATTCAGTATGTTTTTCCCAGTTGTTTCTCAATGTCTTGAATAATTCGGTGGTCGAGAGCGTGAAGGCGCTGAGTGCGTATGGGGACTGCCACCGAGACATAGGTTCGAATCCTAGTTAGGTCATGGATGATTGTGTTTGTATGTATACTTAACCCCGCACAAGTTTAGACTTATGGGGCGTTTGGTCCCAGAGCTGGGACCAACGAGGTATGCAATTGCAAAACATAAAAAATTGATCGAAATTATCGATGAACAAATGCGAGATCTGCAGGTTTTATTTTGATAGAGTGAAATTTGTTAGTTTTCTTATGCTTAAATGAATGTAATGAATTCCAGAATAAGGCATAATCAACAAATTATTGAAAAAAAATGAAGAATTTGGCTGATAATTTGAAGAGAATTATATAAAATTCTAATGTGATCACAATCAAGAAATAAGCTTCAAAAAAGAGGATGTGGAATGTGGAATCGTTATCTATACTTTCATTATTCTCCATATTCTTTCATCAAAATTTGTTTATGAGTACATATACAGAAGAATGGGCAAATTGAAACTTCGACAAGCTAGAGGAAGTTGTCCCCAAACATGTCCACGATAATACATCGTCCATAGAACACGGATCGAAAATAGTAAACAGAAAAAAAACATCTAATTATCACTAGCCTTGTGGTGAACTCCTTATCCAAATTGAGATCATCGACCAGACTAGCAGGCGGCGGATTGCTGGGCAACGGTGGCGGGATCTCGATCTCCTCATAAATCGGATCGTTGCTGATCTTGATGCACTCGTACAGATGGTCTTCGTTCTCCGTCACCTCCACGGCACTCGACTCCGCCAGCAGCTCGTAAAACTTCGTCCTATTGGCCAATTCCTCTTCCGTTATCGAACTCCTGTTACTGTTGTCCGTATAACAATCCGAGCCGGCGTCCATGAACTCGTACTGCGTGGAGGAACTGTGCTCTGATGACAAGTCGTCGCAAACGGTCTCGTAGGGCGACATCTTCAAATCAAATCGAATCGAATTATGATTTATTGTCCACGAATGAATATTATATAGTTTGAAAAACTTTAGAAATACCATTTTATAGATATCCGAAATGAATAGAATTAGAAAATAATAGGTAGCTATTTATGTGTCAAAGGAGAAAAGGTAGCCATTTCCTTCCGCGTGGGAGATGAACCTTCGCTCCCAAGATATACAGGGTGACATTGAAATGAGTGCAAATATTTCAAACACTGAGAAAGTCGACTTGTACTAAATAGCTCTAAAAAAAAGTTTAGGGATTAAACGCCCTCTTTTCACCCAAAGTTCTACACTGTAGCAAATCTGACGTCACCTCTGTCTAAATTTCCATGCGGTATGTACAATCACGCGGAGTTCAATCATTCAAATTGTTTTATAATAGCGTACTCAATTTTTTTCTCGTATTTTGTTCAATTTTTGGGATGACATTTCTCGTTAATTAGAAAAATAAGAAGAAATCTGATATCATGGGAATATTCCTTAGACTGTATGATATTAATGTGCTGAATATGTGCACTTATTTCAAAAACACCTTGTATATATGATTCTATCCACGAACGCATATATTTGAGAGCGTCGTTCTTAGAATTGTACTTCAAGCGGTCTATCTCTCGAGTCTCGATCCAAATCAATGTGTAACATCATGTGGGATTGCCTTCAAAGCCTGCTAACCCTGGCTAACCAAAACAAGGTAACTCTCCAATGAGTGCCAGGGCATAAGGGAATTGAAGGCAATGAAGCAGCTGACGCTCTTGCCAGGCAAGGGTCTGCGGCGTTGTTTATGGGACCGGAACCTGTGTTCGGTATCCCCAAAACCTCAATACGCGGCTGGCTGGCAAGGTGGATGCAAGAAAGACATCAGGCATACTGGAACAATGTCCCAGGACAAAGACACAGTAAACTGATGGTTGGAACACTGTCCAAAACAGTGACTAACGAATTTCTGAGCCTAAACAGAAGTCAGATCAAACAAGTGACGGGACTAATAACCGGTCACTGCCCCTTGAGGAAACATATGCATCAAATGGGCATCTATACAGACGAACCCATATGCAGACTATGCAATGAGGAGGAGGAAACTGCCACCCATGTAATATTGGAGTGCGAAGCACTAGCGCGTTGGAGATACAACCTTCTGGGATCAGTAAACTCTCAAGAGGCCTTACCAAAGAATGATTTGGTGAAGAGGCTGCTAAACCTCATCAAGGTAGCGAACCTGTTCACTTAAGTCAACAGCATGATCAGGAATACAATAGGCCCAAAGGCTGCAGTGTTTTGTGCTTCGAACCCTGACCGATCATTCTGCTATTAATCAATCAATCAATCAACATGATGTAAAGTTACAGAAAGTATTTGAATATTTTTTTTAATGTTCTGATTCCCACGAGAAGGGGATATCCTGTAATGTTCAGAGAACATCGTGGGAACTAAGGAAAACCAGGTAGGATTTGCTGTTCTCAAATTTCTGGAGGTAATATCCCTCGGGGAACACCTCTTTTGGCAATGTGTTCCAGAGCCTCGCTGTTAGTTGGATGAACGCGTCTTTGGTTTGAGATGTTCTGCAGGTCTCCAAAGTGCCCTCTTCTGAACAGAATCCTACAGTTTCAGGGTATATTTGGGTGATGCACTCCAAATATGGGAACAGTATTCGAGGAAAGGTCGGATCTGTGCCTTATAGATCACAAGCATCTGACTGGAAGTGAAATAGCTCCTGGCTCGAAACAGGAAACCATGTTTTTGGGATGCACTTCTAGTAATTGATCTCACGTGATTTTCCCAAGAAAGGTTTTTGCTGATAGTATAACCGAGCATCGAAATGGATGTCTTCAAAGGTATGGTTACTCCTGACAAGCTTATTTTGGGCACAGTGAGATCGACTTTTCTAGAGAAAAGGCATGCTTGTGTTTTGTTTGCATTGAAATCTACCAAGTTATTGGGTCCCCATTCGAAAATCAATTTGACATTGACACTTCTGTCATATTGGATTTGTTTATTGTGTGATTGCAGACATGTAATTGTCAACATTCGTTGACTAATGAATAATTGTTTTCAGTGAGAGTCTATTCTTATCTTATTCCACAAATATATCTCACAGTTTTTTTTGTAGGACGAAGACAGAATTCATCATTTGTGAATCACAAAATCCCCAAGTTGCAATGCTATATATCTGATATTCTACTCCATCAAAGCAAAATATACCATCCGAGCTGGAATCCTATCCAGCGCGCGTGCCACTACTCGAACAGCATTAAAATTTCAACTTATCATTCATTATGATACCATTAATTAATCGTATTCATTATCAGAAATTGTTATATTACCTATAGCATCAGGTTTGGAAATCTAAATTTGAACGTTGAAATATTGGTTTTGCTTATATTGAAATACAAACTGTTTGAATCACACCATCGTTTAATTCCTTCAATATTGGTCCTAATATATTTTTTCAGTATTCCTTCATCATTTCCACTACAGCTTCAAGTGACCTCGAATATTGATGGAAGGTAGATCATTCATATGGAGAAGAAGGACAGGACCCAATACGGATCCCTGAGGAACTCCATGAGAGATTCTTCCCACTTCAGAAAGTCTGCACTCGATCCCGTAAATGAGACTGAAACCAGTCCAAAAGGCAACGCCTATAAACCCAAAAAACGTCGAGTTTTCAAAGAAACTGAACATGATCTACACAGCCGAATGACTCAGAAAAATCGCAGAAAACTGCCGTCTTATTATTTAATAAAAGAAAACAAAGTATCGTTTGTGCTTTTCGAACTCTGAAAATCAAACTGATGATTTTTTATGCTTAGCTAGGAAATCAAAAATTTGTTTCTTCACCAGAATCTGTATCTACAGATATAATTCGATGGGTCTGATGGATCCGTCCCCTCGAACAATGGAACAAAAATAGACGTTTCCAAGGTTGATGGGAAATGTTCAATTAGAAAGTGATATTTGTATACATCCAAATACCATTTCCAATACCTGATTTGATTCAATTACCTTGAACAGCGACTCTTCGAACGAGCTCGACATCTTATTTCTATCCTCTGACATCCCAGCGTCTTTCTTGCAGCCTGGAGGGAATTTGCTATGGTGTACCGTTTTCTTGTCGCGCGGTCTCCTAGACACATCTGACTTGCCGCAGACGTGAGGTACCAAGTTGCGACGTACGGCCTCCACAGGGTCCCTCAACAGTTCAGTCAACAGCTCTGAAGAAGTTACCGTCTCTGATGTGATGTCTTTAACATCATTTGTCGCTGTGTCTAGTTCAGCAGGATCTTTTTCTGAGGAACTAGGGAGGTTTTCGTGCTGGGTGAACGCTCCTGTTATGTAGATACTGCTGCACTTCTTCTGCTTGGAAGCTGGCGTGTCTTTGACAACCACAGAGGACTGATAGAGTGGCACTGAGTCGCCTACGTTCACTGTGGAGTAACAATCGTCTCCATTGATTAAGATCGACGTTTTTCTTTGAGAGTTCTCTATGATTGACAAGGAGGGAACTGCTACAGTCTCGGAGTAATCGTTTTTTATTTGGAGTTTGTGTACTGCTGGCGGGCTGCTTATCCTGACGATAGTTTTATTCATTGGGGCTTCGATTTGAACGGTGTTCACGGTGGGCTGTTTGTTGTTGCTTCTTTTTCTAGGAGGAACTGAAGGAGGATCTGTTTGGATAGGAACTGGAACTGTTATGTCACCATTGATACATCTGTCGAGCTTTTCCATCGAAGTGACTTCATCAGGTTTTTCCAACCCATTGGAAAGTGTTTCTTCCTGATTAACTTGTGGTGCCTCAACTTTTTCACTTGATGGGGTCGAATTAGATTCATATTTTTCTTGTTTTGGAGGTGGAGGTGGTGGTGGTGGTGGGACATTAGGTCTTGGACTGACTTTCCTGATGGCTTTACGGACTGTGCCGTCGAGTCTGTCGAGATCGGAGAAGTCTATTGGCAGGTTCCTTCTCTGTTTGAGACAACGGAGGGCCATGGTATCGTTGAAATTGACTTTGGATTCTTCTCTTCGTATTCTGTCGCTAAAGCTTCTGTATAAAGCAGGTGGTCTTCTAATGGTCTCATCTGAAATTATTCGGGTAACATTAATTCATGAGTCAATATGGTTGAAATAAACTAGAATACAGATATATTAGAAAAAACTCAGTTCAGCCATTAGGGTGTTACGTTTTTATATTTTACGTTCGTAACACCTTTACTTTACAAAGAAACACTCTTGTTACGTATAAAACCGCATTATTGCACTATGAGCCTACATTACTAACAAAGTGAAACGATTTTATGTCATATTATCCCAGTTTAACCATCATATCAGACAGAAGGACTCACTTTTAATGCGGATACTACGTCTTATACGAAACAATCCAAGTCTTATCAAACAGTATTTGAGTCATGTCAGGCTCCAGAAATTATTTGGATCGATGCTCCTTATTTCTAGTGAGTATGTATTTTAGGAACCTCAACATTGTAGTAAGAGAAAAGCTCATAATATGAGCTATCAAAACATTTATCAAGAAACACTGGAGATGGATCATGATATGAGAGAACCTTCTATTCAGTTAGATGCTACTAAAAAATACATTCTCCTGAAAAAATAGGAAAACAAGCTGTTCAATATTGGATAGTGAAAATAATAGCTAGGGAGAAAAGGTATCAATTCCCTCCCGTGTGTTAACTTTGATGCACGACGTGTAGCGGAAGGCGTTAAACACACATGGGAGAAAATGAACGTTTGCTCCCAAAACCTATATCTTTACCAAGGAAGTATAAAGCCAATTCATGTTACCTCTCACGGGAGGTAATTTTTTGTGTCCTCAAGTAGATAAAACATTTTATAAAAATTATTCTTCCCAGTCTAACACAACTGACTTAGAGTGCATAGTAACAAATTTGAATTCACTTACTTTCGGGTGTATTTTGTACCTCCTTACATTCAACTTCTTTTTCAAAAACCTCATCGTCTTCACTGCTACATTCAATTTCATCGGCAGTTTTTCCACCGGGAATGTTGTTGTCATTGCCTGTTGCGTCGCTTTCGACGAGAAATTGAACTTTCTTCTTGGCCCCAACACCGGGCGATGAGGGCATAGGAATATAAAATTGAGATCCTTTTCGTTTGACAGGCGAAGGACTTCTTGTTTGGACAACTTCATCTGATTCTACGTCATCGTAAATGGAGGATTTCTTCAAGATGGATTTGAACTGGCAGTTGTAGTAGTCGTTGCCGCTCTCTTGAAGCGAATTAGTTTTGGTTCTCGATTTAGACGTGGGGCCATTATTCTGGAAAACAGGAATATAATGAAATTTTCATGTAGAAAAGGGAGCGATATATCATCAGACGCTTTTAGCATCTTCTGTAGATTTTTATTTATTACATTTGGAAAAAAGGTATCCAGTCCCCAGTAGTATTACTTCTGAGATAACTTCAACACATGAAGAAATGTCTAGACTATTCTAGACTAGTCTAGAGAGATGGGATACTGAGTTTTTGATTTTTGCGGAAGTTGCGTCCAGCGATCTTTATGCATATACTTTCACTTTTTCTTCCGTACATGCGAGAGGTTGTCCTATGTCCTATTAAAGAAATAATTCTTGCAATACGAGTTGAAAGTGTTTCAGTTTTGTCTCTGTTTATGAATTGTATGTTTATGTATTCATTGGTGGTTCTTGTTTCAAAATAACTTCGAGCATATCTTAGGCGTGTTTTGAAGCTGAACCGTAGACATGCGAATAGTGATTTCAGAGATTATTCAATTCAATTCAATTTTCTTTATTTCCAATCAGACTTATACATACATAAGTATAGGATATTGTCAGGTCAATTTTGAATAATATATAATAATATAATATCTAAAAATGTATAAAAAAACAGTGTATAGAAACAAAAATAAAACATGTATAAAGAAGTATAAATAAAAGGCAGTATACAGAAGTGTACATAGTATAGGTGGTTATACCAGGTTACAACACATATATTCCGGAACCGAATGGTGATGCAGGGTCAAAAGCTGCTGCACCCGGGTAATATCTTCAGCAGAACTGTTCAATGGGTCGATGAATCTGACATGATTTTACTCGCTGATTGAAATACCGAGCATAGATATAGTAGACATTGTGGTAATGTCATTAGGTGCCAGACGTTGGTATATCAGAGAAACTACTTCATATTAACGATCTATTGGGAGCAACCACTTGCCCTATCCACAGCTTCACAGACCATAGTACTCTCCATACTGCGTTCTCTTCCAGAACTCCCATTCCTTTCCAGGAAACGAAGAACTCACGACGAAGGCAGGCTAGCGCTATCAATCAAGCCTGTATTTCCTCTAGAAAGGCAGAACTCATTATGCCTGATATAACAATGTCTGGTACCACCATTACCAAGACCACAAGCAATACTCTCTCATGGAAAAATCATGTCCGATCTCTCGTAAAAGCTGCTTCATAGGTCCACAGCTAGTGATTCCCTATGTTTATCTAATGATGTAGCTTGACATATAATGTGTAACGTAGGCAAGTTAATCTCCAGATGTTGATCTTCGGTGGCGAAAGCCATATTGTCTATAATTATTGATTCCTGGGCTCTCCAGATATTTCATCAGCTCAATGTTGAGACTTTCTCCATCACTTTCGAGATGACTCATAACAGGGCAATTGGCCTATAGTTGTTGGGCAGGTTTTTGCTTACCCTTTTTGGGGATTGGTTGGACTCTAGCTATCTTTCAGCAAGATAATAAAATACCCGACTTGTAGTAGAATAGTGATTCACACGAGACCAACGAGACGAGACTTTCATGAAGACTTTCATAAAATATCGTTTCGTCTCGCCGATAAAATATGAAGTGTTGTCTCGAGTCTCGTCTCGCAGCCTCCAGTCTCGTCTTGTCTCGCGTCTCGTACGAGAATCTCGCAAATGTATCGCAATTTCGTCATGCATAATCTTGTTCCAGTCTAGTAGTAGTAAATATAGGTAGGTAATATATATTTCCTTTCCTCAAAAATATTGCAATCAGGGATAGGTTAGTTCGTTGAGGATAAATAGTCTCTGAGTTTTGCCTAAGTAAAGTACTTTGAAGATGAGATATAACGTGGTATGTGCTACTTTTTCAATCGATTTATTTATATGAATCAGCTACGTTGTGCTGTCAAAGATTAGATTTTGCAGGATTGTGCTGGGCTCGATTATATTTTGCAATGCCGTAGTAGGGGGCGTGTCTTGTGCTGCAATAGTTTATATTTAGTAAAATCGCTTCCAGGAACATAATTATCCAAGTTGTCAACATTGATATTAGGAGATGCACATGTATCACGCTTAAAAGTTTATTCGGAATTATTACCGTTTGTTGCTTATTATCTCCATGCCTCTCCTTCGTAATTGCAGGCATCGAGCTGGGCCTCTTAGCAACCGTCTTCAAACTTGTTTTCTGTGTTTTGGCCATGGATTTGGCAGGCGAAGACAGCCTCAACTGGACGTCCTCGTACCTCTGGTTGTCCTCGAAGTCTTCATCATTGCTGGAAGGTCTGACGCGGATCCTTTGGCCATTGACCAGGGTGATGCTGGGCTGTGGGCCAGTGGAAGAGTCAGGGGAGACTAGCTCGTAGGGGTTGATGTCGCACTCCAGGATGGAGCGACGGCCAATGGGAGTGATGTAGGGGTCTTGGTGGTCACCTGATGCAGAAATAAGAACTTTTATAATAATAATAATAATAATAATTATTATTCGTTCATCGCATAGATTTCGGGAGGATGTAATGCAATGTACTGCGTGGCATATAGCCAGGAAAGTAGTTGTTTTTCTCTCGTTATCTACCATTATCGTTCATTTTATGAACTAGTATGTGGTAATGACTTTGAGTTTCTCTCTCTTTGTGACCATTGCATTCCACTTTGAGTATTTGGCTTTTTCCCTAGTTGAAAATACGCCAGTCGGGCAACCAGCCACTCCCATTTCACCTTGCCAGGTGGCGTTTGGCGTTCGCGTTTTCATTTCGCGGACTTCGAACGCCTCGTATGGTATAAATTCTGAGATGCGTTTACGTTGGGTCAGGTTCGCACCAGATAGCGGTCAAGAAGCTATCTGGGACAGCCCTGTACTGATGAGAGCCAACAGCTCGAAACCGGTCTGCAGGTAGTCAGCGTTCCTGAACCACTTAAGCGCAGCTCAGCGTTTAGGGAGGAAACACTTGCGATTTTATTCGTTTATACGAACTATCGCATAGATTTCAGGAGGATGTAATGCAATGTTCTGCGTGGCATATAGCCAGGAAAGTAGTTGTTTTTATGAACTAGTATGTGGTAATGACTTTGAGTTTCTCTCTTTGTAATTATAATAATAATAATGGGTCTTTATTTCATCCAAACCATTGAAACAATGAATAAATTGTAAATGGGGCAACATTCAACATCGTTGCTCTTCCATGCAACCCCCAAAAGTACTATTTTAAATTGACATCGTAAATGAACGAAACAAAAAAAATAGAAATTACACTTGAAGATAGCAAAAGAACATACGAAATATAGTGGCAAAACAGAACAGAGTAAGTATATTTTTAAGAATCCAGAATTTATATTTATTGATTGTGTGAATCAAAGAGCAGATATGGAGAATGAACCGTTCATTTGAATTTAACCAATTTGATTCAGCAGAACTGTGAACTGAAATAATCATATTTTCTCAAATTGTAGCTAAATTTCACACAAGAATGTTGTACCTTTTGAAGATTTGTTTTGTCTCTATCTAAGAAGGCAGGCCAAAAATTTTATCTGCTCACTGCATCTAAAGCAAGCGTTTGATGCCTCATTTCAGGGCACAAACCTACTGTCAATTCACTCCTACGGGAAGAAAAAAATATTATCTCCCGTGGGAGGTAGAATAAATTGTCTACAGCTTGCTTTCTTGGTAGAGATCAGATCTGATACATCGCACGAAAAATGCAGCGGGAGATGAATGAATCCGGTTGGTACATTATGATTTGAAAGTAAGTACCTACTATAATAGTCACTCACATATACTTTTCATTTTAAAATTTGGTAATTTCTCTGATTCCTCATCGGAATTCCTTCTGCAATATGTTTCATCAAGAGTAGTAGGACTATGCCGTTTCTAGCTCAAAGCCGCGATCAACACTCCCTAGGTAGCGCTGTAGATGTGGCGATAAATTTAACTTCTTGATGTTTGTATTTATAACATGTATTATTCGTTTGGTGACGTCATTTTTGCAATTCAATTTATATTCCGAATTAAATAGAAAAAAATGTGAGCTGTGCACAGGGAATCGAACCCCGACCGACGAACTGTGAGCCCGATGCGCTACCATTGCGCCACATCCACAAGTATATGTTAGTGTTCAACTTGGAGATATAAAATGCCTGCCGGCCAGCGCGCGTGTCGCCTTCACTCCGGTACATCGTTGCCAGACTTTCAAAAAAGTATATCGGATACTTGGTGCGCGGCGCACCGCATCGTTGCCAGACGTTCAAGTATTTGGGTGGTACTCCGTAATACGGACGTGGGCCATTTGAAGGTGTGTTATCTCAAAGCGACGTTGTATGATGTATGTCGTTTGCAGATTATGCTTGAGATATAATGTATAGAGTGGAAGGATGCAAAAAAAAAGCATGGCAGCTTGATTTGTAGGTTGAAGGTGGAGCAATATTCTCAAGGAAGTTTATGCCACACCGCTAATAATCCACAAGGATCTGCAAATTCAATGAGATATTCTATTGGAATGTATCGCAATTCTTGTTCGGTGAATGTCGTTAGAGTTTCAGTGGGAGATTTCAGGAAGTCAACGAGCACTGCTATTTCATACTTCATATTTTTCTTCAATTGGCAGACTGATGAAAAGCAATCGCCGAATAGGTATGAATGAATCTCTGAACATCAGTAGTTGACGCATTATTTCAACTAAACCTTCAGCAATGATGGGAGCCTCGTTGGAATATGATTGTCCCAAATTGTTAAAAGAATTTTGCTGTAGAAAAAGGTGTTCTTCCATATCTGCTCTAGATGATGTAGTCGATGGAATGGCATGTCGAAAATGCAAGCATTTTTCCTACTGCGTATGCGCATGCACATCGAGAGGCAAAAATGGAATAGGTTCATGTTTTGTGGCAGTTTTCAGATGTCTGTGGCAGAGTACAAACGTCAGCTGGAGGAATAGTCCGTCGGCCGGGCTTCGATTCCCTGTGCACAGCTCACAGCTTTTTTTATTTAATTCGGAATATAAATTGAATTGCAAAAATGACGTCACCATACGAATAATACATATTATAAATACAAACATCAAGAAGTTAAAATTATCGCCACATCTACATCTACAGCGCCACCTAGGGAGTGTTGATCGCGGCTTTGAGCTAGAAACGGCATAGTCCTACTACTATCAAGGGACCATTTACCACCTATCCCGTGATTCCTGGCCTCTCTCGGCGACACCGATCGTACCCTGAACCCGCTCGAAGGGTTTTCTACCGCCCCCGTCAACCGGGAGCGGCGCACCAGGTCGTAAGGGTCGCAGGCGGCGTTGGAGGCGGCTGGAGGCGGCAGGATGGTCGGTCTGGCGTGGCAGGAGGTGACGCGGACGGTGCCGGCGCGCGCAGGCGCAGGATTGGTCGCCAGGACGGTGGTGGGGTAGCATCTCACCGTGCCGAATTTCGAGTCCAACTGTCAAACAAAGCAGGGAATCAATTGTCAACAAATTATAATTCTCAGATGACAGTTCGTTATAGTTTTAGTAGAGATGTATAGAAATTTAACTGGTGCGCTTGCTCCCTATTGAAGGTCGTTTGCAAGTTTCTCGATGGCGCCTACCCCTAACAACACCGGATCTTGCTGGTACATCCCGCTAAGGCAATGTTTCAGACTTAGGTACGATATCCCAGAGATGTTTCTCTTGGGACATCCATCAGATGTTTTCATTGGATGTTCTAGAAACATCCCATTTTGATCTTTTTTTATAAACAATATCATGGTTCCATATTCGCTAATGATGATTGGCATGATTGAATAGTTCAAACAATTGTGACATTTGAAACATTAAAGAGTTGGTAAAAAATGGAAATCAAAACTGTATTCGTACTCATATACTTATACCTATACCAAAGCCGGCTAATTTCATCGATAACGAATTGAAATAATTATACTTAATATTCCACAATAGAATACCAAAGTACCTGTTGAACCATGTAATAAACGACAAAATTGAAATATATCTCTCCAGCATATTTATTGCTGAATTTATTTGTTATACCAGCCGATAGATGGCGGTGCAACTACGTTGCTAAGAGTTACTAACAGCCGTCGGCCCAGCGCCAACAAATATGAGCCTCAAACAACTGTTATCATCTTCCATTAGTAATTGGACCGCACCGAACTTATATTTTCGGATTCGGATTGTTATATACTTTATGTCTGGAAATAGGTCGTCCATTTCCAGGATTTCAGATTGAAAATAATTCATACCGTGTCATCCATTACTGTCATCAAACAAATAACATCCTAGAAATTTCTTCAAGATGTTCCATATCAAGTACCCTGAATGTCTCTGGTACATCTCGTATCATCCCACAAACATTCTGATGGGATGTTTATGAGACATCGCAAATGCTGACAAGGGTTTGCCAGCAACATCCCAAGAATGTCCCAAGGAAAATAGGGATTTTCCAGAGATGTTCCTATCATCCCATATGGATGTTTCTACGACGTCTTACAGATGCTATTGTGTTATTAGGGACTCTGATATACCTTTGATAAACATACTTGACGTGGGTAAATCTTGCTAAGCTCATCCTGGTTACAATCCATATTCACAGGAAACATAGTACCGACCGATAAATATTTAGATACAGAGCAGTAAACTGATTCCTGATCAAAGGATCGAAACGTCAATATGTCAAAAATATTCTTGAGCTGAAAAAATGGTTATTTCTGAGATTGGGGTCTAGTGTTCGTTAGGGACGTGTTCCGTAGTTTCTAAATTTTGTGTATAATACCTAATCCACCATACAACAATGATGGAAATAGATTCATCCCTCACAGAACCAAGGTTTTGAACGATTTTCCGATTATGGCGCCTCTATCGCAAATACCTGAACCGCACGTCCAAAACTCGCTTGCAATTGTTCCATATCGAGAGTTAGTCTGACGAAACAATTGAAGAGTGAGCCCACCAGTTAAATTTCTATACATCTCTGTTTTAGTTATACAGGGTGATTCTTAAGTACGGGTAGAAAATTCAGGAGCATGTTGCTGACGTCAAAATAAGAAGAAAAGTTCGTATAAACATATGTCGGAAAGTTGTTCGTTTCTGAGATACAGAGTGTCAAAGTTGAATTCTCATTCTTGTTTTTTGGTAATAAATTTCAAAATAATTGTCATATTTGAATGAAGTTTGGTATCTAGGGGTACTTTTTAATGACAATATCAAATTTTATGTTAGTTTGTCTCTTTCGTGGGAGTGGCGCCTCCTATATGTCTTTTGAGTCTTTTGAAAAGTAATAACTTTCTTGTGCGTACCTGTATAACGTTTTATAGTAGAAAAATAGATTTCTAGGACACTTTCCTTACTGAAGACAAACAACATATGGCAGAGTGGAATAATATTGAAATCATTGGAAAAGAAGATAAAAACCAGAAGAGAAAAATCAAGGAATCTGCTTGCATTCTTCTGAATGGAGGCAAAAGCATTGCTTCTTGTTCAGTTGATATAGACAGAACATGGTATTCACTACTAATATCTGAACATGATAATGGTAAATTCAAGATTAATTAATGAACACATCCTGTAACTCATTTGATTGCCAACGTCACCAATTGTCAATGAAAATTGAAAAGCTTGAAGACAGATATGACTGTGCTATTGAAATAATCATTTCTTATGTTGAAAACGGGAGCAGATTCGGTCCCGAAACGTCCAAAGAAAAGTGAAAATTTGATATTTTTTCCTATATACCTTTATTTCTCTTCTCTAAACTTTTTTCAATACAAATTGTCACTGACAAGCTAGTGAATTTTTCTTTTAGGCTCTCTGATAGGAAAATTCTTTAAACACAGTGACATTTTGGGGCAAATCTTCTGATTTATCCTTACTACACGTATATTGAAATAATATTCATATTCTCATTTTATAGAAACGAGGAGAGAAAATCCCAAAAATTTTGGAATGACGAATGTGAATACAGTGTGTCCCACTTACCATGCTCACCATGGGTATCTTTTTAACGGTGAGAGATAAGAGGTCGGTTAAATGACACCAAATGTGGAGTTTGTCAAGGCCAACTATAATGTGAAAAAATATTTTGATAAAATCTATCCGTTTTTGTTTTATATGCAAAAAACCGATTTTGATTATTTTCATGTCTCCTCCGTAACTTCTTTATTTATGAAAATATCCAAATAGGAATTTCACTTTCTCATGGCAGTTTTCCAAAGTGATTTCGAAAAAAATATGAAATTTATACCAACTCTTCTAGAATTTGAGATATCAGCACCGACTTTAGTTTTTCAAATGTAGATCATAGCTCACTATGACTTAGTTACAAATAACTTTTTTTTCTCTTACAGATGATGTGTTGCAGTAATAGTTTTGTGTTGATAACAACAGAGTTATCGTCATTTATACAAACACAAAAAATTATTTGGAAGCCGCCATCTTGAATTTATAAACTTCAACAAAAAAATCATGATCTCCGACCTCAAAAACCCCCACTTACCAATTTTGAATGAAATCGGACCAAATCTTGTCCGCCATCTTGGAGCAGCCATTTTTTTTTAATTTTAACAAAAATTCCATAATGTATTGTCACCGAAATTATGAACACCTGCCAAATTTCAAGTTAATCGGAGTTATGGGATTTTTGTTGAAATTAAAAAAAAATGGCTGCTCCAAGATGGCGGACAAGATTTGGTCCGATTCCATTCAAAATTGGTAAGTGGGGGTTTTTGAGGTCGCAGATCATGATTTTTTTGTTAAAATTTATAAATTCAAGATGGCGGCTTCCAAATAATTTTTTGTTTTTGTATAAATGACGATAACTCCGTTGTTATCAACACGAAACTATTACTGCGACATATCATCTGTAAGAGAAAAAAAAGTTATTAGTAACTAAGTCATAGTGAGCTATGATCTACATTTGAAAAACTAAAGTTGGTGCTGATATCTCAAATTCTAGAAGAGTTGGTATAAATTTCAAATTTTTTTCGAAATCACTGTGAAAAACTGCCATGAGAATGTGAAATTCCTATTTGAATATTTTCATAAATAAAGAAGTTACGGAGGAGACATGAAAATGATCGAAATCTGTTTTTTGCCTATAAAACAAAAACGAATAGATTTTATCAAAATATTTTTTCACATTATAGTTGGTCTTGACAATCAATCTCCACATTTGGTGTCATTTAACCGACCTCGTATCTCCCATCGTTAAAAAGATTCCCATGGTGAGCATGGTAAGTGGGACACACTGTATATGCATTATAAATACTAAATTAGTTAGTCATTGTTTTGATAATAACCGATTCAAACGTACTCACCGCCGATACGGGTAGCCTAGTGCCTTTGCACTTTTTGCACGTCGTCTGCTGCGTCTTCTTGGCGGCCCGCTTCGTTCCGCCGCCACCGGAACAATCCGGGGCGCAGGCGCACAGCGCGAACGCCGGCGTCAGCAGGAAGGCGCCCGGCGTCGCGACGCCCCCGCTCTGCACGCTGCCGTACAGCCAGGGATCCGCGTACCGCATGGAGCGCGAGAGAGCGCTTGAACCTTCGCTACGGCTACTACTGCCGCCCTGTGAACAGAAAATAATAATAATAATGTTCATTGTTGACATAAAAATGGAAAAATTCACATAAAATTCACATGAATATTTTGAAAGAACTGGAGTGTAAAAACAAATATAGTAAAAGTATGTATACAATCACATATCATTTATTTATTCATTCATTCATTTATTACAAAGTAGGGATACAAACAAACAAAATCCAACGAGTATCCTCTTATTAGGTAATCAAATAGTGAGCCAATAATAGTGAACTTATATAGTATAGACATTATAACTGATCCAATATTAAAATGCAATATATGGACAATATAAACATTATATGAACGTTACGATTAAAACGTTATCTGTAGACGAAAGTGCGTGTGAATTTTTATCCAGTCAACGAAAACAGAACAAGGATTTCACGTGTTTTTTGAAATTCAAAAATGAAAGTCTGAAGATTGTGATTTTATTACAGGAGCTATCAAAAGTTCTGACCATTCTGCAAATGGAAGAGTTTAATCCTGAGTTTGTTTTTCTGGAAGGTGTGTTAATGGTTTCATGGCGTCTTAAATCTCTGCTAGGTGTACTCAAGGATATTTTGGACGATAGCTTGGGACAATCAATGCGTTTGTTGAATATTTTATAAATCATCAGAAGGTCTGACATGGTTCTTCTATCGGTGAGAGACAACATGGAATACTTTCTGAGAATTGGACTGTAATTACTGTTTACTATTGGGATATCTGATTTACGACCCCAATTAACCTAGCAGAACCACTTCAATATTTAAGATTTGCAATAGTGCTATAAATTGTTACTAATTTAGTGCTAATTTATCACCATATTCGCGAGTTTACTACCCTTAATTTGACAGGAGAACCAATGGCTCTGCTAGCTTTATGTCAACCTAGCAGAACCATATAGCTGAATCATTTTTGTCTGAACTTCCAAATTTACCATAATTTATTAGTAACTTATAGCTATAATCAGGAATTTTTTACTCATCATTCGATGAAAAAAACGCCGACTTGTCTATCTCGAGCTCAACTTAGCAGTTCTTTTATTCAAATCACATACTCTTTGAAATTCTATAGATTCCTCAATAAGTTACTAATTTAATACTCATTCACTACCACATTCGCAAATTTATAACCCTTCATTAAACAAAAAAAAAAGGCACTGATAGCTTTATGTCAGCTAGAATAGTAATTTACGTGATAAGTCCGTGAAATACTGTTTTTTTGGATGAGTAGACAAAATTCTAGGCAGAGCCGTAGGCGAGCCCTGGGAGTCTGCGAGTCCAAAAAAACTGTTTTTGGACTTGTTGCGTAAACTATTTTTGCGGCAACCATGTAGAATAACAAATCAATGAGACACATTCCCATATTATATTTCTTTGTAGAATACAATGTCTTCTTTATCAATTATCATTTGTATCAAATACTGAAATTTTAACAGAATACCCATACCTACTGACTGTTAAATTGGAAATGTCGTATGGACATTTTCAAACTCACTGTCGCAGCTGCTTTCGATAGTTTATTGCGATAATTGTAACCAAACTTTCAAGAATCAAAATATCAACTAATTTCTAATTTCATATCATATAGCTGTCAGCCGATATTTCGCTGCTATGGTAATTATCATCTGCATTTATCAAAACCATATATCTACCAAGATTTTCATAGCTACAGTGACAATAACGATGTGATACTTCCCGGCCTAGTCCAGGAAGTGAGCACTTTCCGGACGGCTGCCGAGAAATTAATTTTTTAAAACTTCAAATACTCATACCATAATTTATTACTATTTTATTACTAACTTGCGAATAGAATCACGAATTCTCAACTTATTCGATGGAAAAAAACGCTGATGATTTTCCACTTGAAATGAGGCCAGGATGAGGATGAGGATATACAGAGTTTGTCGGAATATCCAAAAACATGTCATTCGAGTTTTGCTTCTGCTTGGTTGAGATGGAATTGATAGACGAATCGACGATTTCCTTCTCCAAATGGAAAGTGGCATATCGTTATTGTGGTAATAAATTGGTAATAAAATATATGAATTATCGTATATTTCAAGTTCAAGAAAACTAAATTCAATGCTATGGATCTGCTAGGTTGACATAAAGCTAGCAGAGCCGTTGGTATTTCCTATCATCCTCTCTGAGATCGAGCAAGACGAATCGGTGTTTTTTTGCATCGAATGATGATTAATGAATTCGTGATTATATTTATAAGTAACTCATGAAATGGTAATGAATTATGGTATATTTGAAGTATTAAAAAAAATAATTTTTAGCTAACACAAAGCTAGCAGACCATTTCTTTGCTTCTGTTTATGGTTTATGAATTTGCGAATTTGGTGGTGGATAAATTATGAATTACTGACTCATTGAGGACTCAATAGAATTTTTAAAAACACGTGATTTGAATTTTGGTTCTGCTAGCTGGAGTGCTAGCTTGAGATCGAGATAGACAAATCGGCGTTTTTTCCACCGAATGATGAGTATAAAATTCGTGATGATAGTTATGAGTTAGTAATGAAATAGTAATGAATTATGGTATATTTGAAGTTGTCTAAATAATAAATGTTTAGCTATGGTTCTGTCAGGTTGACATAAAGCTTACAGAGCTGTTGGGTTTTTCTCTTTAATGAAGGGTCATGAATTTGCGAATATCGTAATAAATTAATACTTAACAAGTAACAAATTATAGCACTTTTTACAAAATTACAAATCAGAAAAATTTAAGTGGATCTGCTAAGGTTATTAGGGTCCAGCAATAGCTATTTATACCGAAAGTATGGATTTTTTGAATTATTACCAACAGTAATTCAGAACCGATAGAGAATCTTTGGGATGAAGTCCAGAGGCTCATTTGCCTTCGTCTGGCCTTGTCAGAGACAATTCAAGAGCTACGATTCACCCTTCAAGGAAAATTTAAAGCAATTCCTCAAGAGTCAAGACTGCTTGAGTCCTTTGTATTTGGTGATTCAGATTTCTGTTTACTATCTCTCTGAGATCTTAATCTAAAGTTCATGCAGGTTCTGCAAATTTAAAAAATCAATACTTTCTTAAAAAAATGTGTATCTCCTCTTGAAAATAAGATATTGACGTGAATCAAAAACGATTGTGTTGAGAATTTATCACACTTGAATCCAAAACATGATGAAGCTGAGTATAACCACTAACTTTTGCCACAGGGCCTTGAAAAGTAAAGTATGAAATAGTAACTAAGGGCATAGAATAGTGAAGTAAAAAAAAAAGAGTTCAATACTTTTGGGTGTATGATAAATTGACATTCATCATACAGGGCGTGGAAATGAATTCTGAATTGAGACTCTATCACGAATCTGCGATTAGAGGTCTATAAAAATCACAAGTTTCCATCGTTCAAGTTTGAACCCCCTGATTGGGTATGAAAGTGTTGAAAAGGAATATTCTCAGATAAATTATGAACATACAAAAATGGATATATATTTATATAAAGCAATACATTGAGAATTCGCATTCTCTATGTGATGAGAATATTTACTCTTTTTCAGTTAATTCAATAGAAAACAACTACTTTCCTGGCTATATGCCACGACGAACATTGAATTATATCTATTGAACACACACGATAAGAGTTTGAAAATAAAATATAAAAATTTCTGAAATTGAGAATTTGCATTCTCCTTCAGACAAAAATATGTATATACACACATCATTCTGAATATTCAACAGAAAACAACTACTTTCCTGGCTATTTGCCACGTCGAACATTGAATTATATCTGATGAACATTCAAAAGGGGAACATGAAAAAAGAATAAAATCCTCCGAAATTGAGAATTGACATTCTTCTTCAAATCGGATGAATAATAATGATGAATAATGATCTAGAAATATGACTTACCAATATATTCAGCATTGAAATGAAAATTGGAATATATTGGTAAGTCATATTTCTAGATCATTATTCATCATATTATTCATCCGATTTGAAGAAGAATGTCAATTCTCAATTTCGGAGGATTTTATTCTTTATTTTTCATGTTCCCCTTTTGAATGTTCATCAGATATAATTCAATGTTCGACGTGGCAAATAGCCAGGAAAGTAGTTGTTTTCTGTTGAATATTCAGAATGATGTGTGTATATACATATTTTTGTCTGAAGGAGAATGCAAATTCTCAATTTCAGAAATTTTTATATTTTATTTTCAAACTCTTATCGTGTGTGTTCAATAGATATAATTCAATGTTCGTCGTGGCATATAGACAGGAAAGTAGTTGTTTTCTATTGAATTAACTGAAAAAGAGTAAATATTCTCATCACATAGAGAATGCGAATTCTCAATGTATTGCTTTATATAAATATATGTATATCCATTTTTGTATGTTCATAATTTATCTGAGAATATTCCTTTTCAAGAGTTCAATAATTAAAAGTACATGGTTTTTATTATGCAGTTCAATTATCTTCCTACTATCTGCACACAAAGTTGACAATAACTTTTTCTCGAATACTTGCTGAAAATATTACGTGAATAAGTTTCTGAAGAGCTTTGCTCCAAAAGAATTGTATACTTTATTTTGGTTTACCAGGGTGATCAACCTACATGTTTTCAGGTTAGGATCACATCGTGCTTGATCTTTTGGTTGCTGAAATTCAAACCTCAAAAAAGCAGTGACGTGTTGTATACTAACTTTAAATCTGCAGGACGAATACGGGGTGTCCGATGGTGAAGTCGGAAACCGTCGCATTGCATGGCTAACCACTGCAGCCATGGAAGTGCAGGTGTTGCGGCATCACTGAAAAAATAATATTTGGCGTTAGAATATATACATGGGTAGCATTGTAATGAATACAAATATTCCAAACCCAGAGGAATGTCGACGTGTTCTATCGAATGACACCAAAGAAAAATATAGGGTGAGACCCCTCTTTCCACCTAAATTTATACTCTGCGGAAATTCTGACGTCACCTCTCTTCAAATTTCCGTGAGGAAGATACAATAACGCGGAGCTCAATTTTTTTTTCTATGTTCTGGTTCCCACGAAAAGTGATATCCTGTAATGTTCAGAGAACATCGTGAGAACCAAGGGAAATAAGGTAGGAATTGGTGTTCTTCTTGCATTTCTGGAGGTCATATGGCTCGAGGAACACCTCCCTTGGCAATGTGTTCCAGAGCCTCGCTGTTCGTTGGAAAGAGATGTTCTGCAGGTCTTTAAAGTGACCACGAAGGGGTGCGAAGCCTCAACTCGACGGGTTAATCTCGCGGGGACTGACAAGGGAGAAATAATTGTTGATATTTCAGAAGAGCATCGTTCATGAAAATATCTATAAAATAGAGCCAGATCGCCAACTATTCTACGGTGTTCCAGAGGAGTGAATGAATTTGTGAGCGAGGCATCATCCACGAGACGAATTGCCCTTTTTTGGACAGAATCCAACAGTTTCAGGGTATGTTTGAGTGCTGCACTCCAAATATGGGAACAGTATTCCAGGACAGGTCCGATCTGTGCCTTATAGATCATGAGCAGCTGACTGGAAGTGAAATAGTTCCTGGTCCGAAACAGAAAACCCAGTTTTTGGGATGCACTTTTATCAATTGATCTCACGTGATTTTCCCAAGAAAGGTTATTGCTGATAGTAATACCAAGCATCGAAATGGATGTCTTCAAAGGTATGCATGGTTACTCCTGACAAGCTTATGTTGGGAACAGTGAGATCGGCTTAATTAATTAGCCTTGATGAAGAATTCTCTAGATGTTTCGTCAATTAGAAGAATCAGGAAAAATCTGATTTTGTTGGAATATTAGTTAGACTGCATCACATTGATATGCGGAATATGTACACTTATTCCGAAAACACCTGGTATAATCAGAAGTCTTCTGATGATTCATGAAAATTATTTAGTAATTTGTGGACTTTTTGTTGTTAACTGTCATTTAATGTTGAATAATAATGGTGAACAAATTAATATCAAAACAGCCAATACTCACTGCATCAGGTCACTGATTAAGGTTGAGAAACGCGACAAAACTCGCCTATACCTGAGGTCCGGGGGGGTTAGGAAGAGATAGCAGTGGGCGGTTACAAAACAGTCATAAATCAACAAGCATCCTTTTTAGAAAAGGACAACTCACCCGGTTCGCCAATTAGTCGGGGTGATTACCGCGTCCGAATATTTATTTATATTGCCAATAATCTGCCTAGCAGATTCCTAGCGAAATGTATTCTACCTATATTCATCGGGTAATCCGGTCATAGAATCTAACTTGATAACACCTTGATTGTGTTATATCCTTGGTTATATCCATTACGTTTACATATGTTATCAAGATTTACGACACTCTTCATTGTTCGAGAGGTGTGGAAAAATTAGGATTTTTTGTATTCTCTTAAATAGATCATGAGATATATTATCCATCATGGGTACACTATCAGGCTGAGGAGATGCAATAAACATCGGATGATTTGAGGGTTCACGATGGGTTTCACAAACTTCCAATTGTCTATGGTTTTGGTGAATATTCTGAAAGATTCAAATTTGGATGACCAATCGCGGGAAAATGTGTATACTATCAGCAAAAAGTTATATGGGAAGTATCGACAACAGGATATCTATCCAATATTAGGGTACATAATATACAGATTTACTGCAGTAAATCTGTATGTTGATGATTGCTAAAAGCCTCAAGCCATAGCGCTGCTTTTGAAAATCCGATCTCGAAAAACCAAGAAGCAAACGAAATGACTCATCAGATACTATGAGTAGGCTTTAATCATTATTTTCTTGAATTTCAACTGTATCGTCAGTTAAAGTTAACTTTTCTGTTATACAGGGTGATTTACGTAGGCGCAAATATCATCGACCAAATCGTGCGTATTTGTGAGAATGTAGAGCAACGGCTCTTAACGTCCTGTATTGACATCGATCACTATTTCGAGCTGCTTTTTTTTGTGTGGTTTGTTGACAGATAGATCTAGGTTGGATACTATTTGGAAATTGGTTATTTCATGTACACGTATTTTTTTTTATTTGCCAAATTGACTAATTTTGAGCACTTTTCGAGAACGTTTTTTGCACTCTTTCCTAAAAAACTTCGAAAAATGAGATAGTATCCAACCTAGCTTGATCCTTTGGCTAGAGCATGAATCGAAAAAATTCTGAAAATATTGAATGGTTTCGAAATGGGAAGTCTAGAGCGAGAGCGCTGAATTTGTTATTTTGTGCGGCTCATTGCTCACTCTTTAGTGATGCTGATCTATTAGACAGAGTTGATGTCATTGCTTGAAATTTTATATTTTATGAGAGATGAGAATTTGTGAAATAATAACAAAATGAAGTCATTGTGATATCAAACATAGTAAAACGAAAGCAATTTTGTGTTGTAGCCGTCGATAATAATCAGTATCTTGGTTCTTTGAAAAGCATTAGATATACTATGTTGCTTTGAGCACAGCTGAAGTGGAATATAAAACAGCAGCAGCAGCAGTAGCGCAAGAACTTGTGAATTGAGAGGTATATTGTGTGAGGTCAAGAACATTGTACGGTGCTCTTTATAGAAACGGGTTGAACTCGATGATATGCGGCAACATTTCATCAAATGCCTGATTGTTGAAAATGTTATGATGTGGATTAAGTTAGCACAAATTGAAATATTGTTGATTATTTCACCAATTCCTCATTGGAAGAGAAAATTTTGAAATTCAGTTTCAGCTGAGAATATTACAAAATAGGCGATTTCCTCGATTCATAGTACAGAGCTCTGATTTCAAAACTTACCACTTAGCCTTATGATGTGCGATGATAACAATTATGGAATTGAAGAGGAAATAAAATACTAGTATCTATTGAATGCTATGATCATCCCTTCAAACCCCGCCACCTCTACTTTATAAAATTCCAAATGGCAACTTGAGATACATCAAATTGAGGCGGAAACAAAAACCAATCCGACCAGATGAATAATAATTTATTTCAATGATTCATGTTGGTGATCAACAAAAGTTAGAGAGAGCGAGTGATCTTTGACAGAGGTATTTGAAGCAATTATTCGAAAATATGCTTCAATATTTGATGCTCAATAGTACAGCCTATTCTAGAATTCTTGAAACATTTTTTGAAACGTTTTCCCATTTATTTGTCTACTTTTCGAGAAATATATCAGTTTGAGTACATCCATATTCTCTGGCTGAGTTTTATTAACCATTGTTTCCACATGTGACTCCACAAAAATTGATCTGAGGATACCTTCAATGAAAATTGACAAAATGTTTGGCTGTAATAACTGACCTAATATAACTTATAATTTAATGATTATGTCCCGATATTTATAAATCAAATACTAAGATAGTTTTCCATCTGGTTGGTTATTATTGCTAGACTTTGAATTTTATATATCTCGAAGTAGGGGGTGCCATTTGGAATTCCAAAATAGGGGTGTCTGGGTGAAGAGAATGAACATAACATTCGACCGATACTGATATTTTTCTTCCCCCTTGATATCCTACGTCCGGCTACGTCTTTTTGTCGACACATGTAATTTTGTTTTTTCTCCCTTACGATAATCACCTGCCCTGGGTTATATAGGCGGCATTTTCAATACTTATAGTCACAAACACAAAAACATTTCCACACCAAATACAAAGTTCAACGTTTCTGCATAAAGCAGATCAAACTACTGACATGACGAAAATATTCAACATTGATTCATTTGGGAGCACGACTAAATATCCCGTACAAAAATATCCCGTCAAAGAAATCCTGCCGAAAATAACCTGCACATTAATATATTTAGACAATGATAGCCTGACCAATAACATTTCCCTTCCTCAGTCAAATTATTATAATGATTTTATAAGGATATAAATGATAAGGTTATTTTCAGCAGGATATTTTTGACAGGATATTTTTGGACGGGATATTTAGTCGTAGACCCATTCATTTTACCTGGATTCGTAAACATTCAAAGGATGTTGAACATTTTTATAATGTCACCAATCATTAATGACCTACCACTATTATATTACACTCGCACTAAATACAAAATTGTAAAACCTAGAAATTTCAGAAGCTCAAGCTCTCTATTCCATTGACCATAAACGTATACCTGCATCCTGCATCACCCTGCATCTCAGGATGTTACGCCGTGTAAAAAACAACACGTTCGGGGAACCACCTATACGTATTCTATTATTGTAGACGATTTTTTGCGTTTAGCGAAATAATGGGCACTTGAGGCAATGAACTCGCGTGAAATTACGCATCAGATTATTCAATAGATTTCACTTAATTGACGAACGAACTATTAGATGATACTTCTCAAAATGTATGAAGAATAAATTATTTTTGTCTCAAAGTAATCAATACCTACTAGTTTATTTTTGAAATTTCATGAATTTATATAGGTTTTTTTTAAATTTCATTATTTCTATATTTCATCAAATCACCCGAACTAAGGCTACATCGACTGCCATGTTCTTTTGATATAACTTTCACCAGAGGGCGCAAATATCATCGTGAACTTATGCCTATTTTTGAGGTTGCAGAGGATTGGCTCCTGACGCTTTGTGAAGAAACCAAGCCACATTATGATTTGATTTTTTTTTTGTAGCATATTGAAGGTTCATTCTAGGGCGGATACTATCTGAAAATCTTGAACAAGCAGTATAAATATTTTTTTTTCGTCAGCTAATAATGCTATATTCAAATACATTTTTGAAACTTTTTTTTTTCGAATTTTGAAAAATGAGATAGTATCCGCCCTAATTTGAACC